TGTTTTAGTGGGGTTGGCTTTTTTAACTAAGCCTTTCCAGTTAAGCCAGGAGCACACATTGTGCCAAGTTATGAGATAAATCAGATGAAAGGAGTGACTTTACTAAGCAGAGCACCTCCCAGGAAGGCTGGACAATTCATCCTGCTAATGGCATGAGGAATTTGCAACAGTTGAGTTTCTGGTTATGGAGCTCATTGGCCAAAGCCATAGGTCATCACTCTGGAAGTCTGAACTTGCAGATCCTCATAAAACTGTGCCAGTTTTAATTTCTCTGCCCTTTGTTTTGAGACCTCATCACTTGTATAATAACAGATCATTAGCTCTTTGAAAGGAAACTTTCTCTCTACCACCTGCTTGTTTTTACAGTTCCACTTCCTTTCTATTTCACTTACTGACTTTATTCCCAAAAGCATGCTTGCCCTTTCTATCCTGTCATAGAAAGTAAAGGAAGAGAGTAAACAAGTAAAAATGCTTGAATGCAACAGGGAAAAGACTGGGGACAGAGCTGTTGTGTCTGCAGTTTGCAGCCCATAAGAAATATGTCAGGTTGAATGCTGAGCACCAGGTTGATTGGTGTTAAACAACAAGCACAAGTTAAAAAGTGAGCTTTCCCAAGCTTGTTGCTTTGCTCTTTCCCATTTATTGATTCTTTGAGTCCAGACACACAAATTGGGTTCAATGTGTACTTGGCCAAGATAGCACAGTGGAGGACAATAGCAGGTAAGTCACTATGCCTTAGTTCCTACTGCTGTAGAGAGAGGTAATGATATTTTATTCTATGCTCTAGATTTTCTGTGAAGACATTCTTGTGGAAAAGGCAGATGGGAAGAGTAAAATTATATTTTTACCTATAGGAAAAGGGTCAGGATCTGGAGTAATTTTTTCAGCTATAACACTGTAGTTAGAATGTCACATGAAAGAACATTTTGCCTAAAAGCATGATTTTTCCACTTAGAGATTGGACTTTCTCAGAAGGCTTGAGTGCAATTACATCAAATATATTATTTCTGTTTGAAACTGTATCAGAAGTTTATAGTAGGTGAGAAATTACAGCAAGCAACAGTAGACAGAAGAAGTGTTCTTTTCATGATGGTTTTTTTTAATGCAGGCATTTCTGTGTGTTGTTTCTGGACCAAGTTTTCATACTTGAACCTTTTTTTTCCGGAAAAATTAATGAGAAATCTGTGTTTTCTAGCAATATTCAATTGTAGTATGATGAATTCAGTTAGTATGAGCATTCCAGGGTAGCCTGAGACGGAATTCAGACACTTTTGTCAGACCTGTAACACAGGGGCATCATCCTACCAGAGATGGCTTGAAATTCTAATGTGATGTTCCTGATGATGCTGTGTGTGATGTGTGGAGAATACAAACTGCTTTGTGATGAGGGGATTTGGGGGGATAGCAGTTTCCTGTCCCCAAGGAACTTGCTTATGTCTTTGCACTTTGTCCTGACGTGCATCACAAATGTGTTTTCCTTTCTTAAGAGAACAAGGAGGGTCCAGTTCCTCTTGTATAAATTCCTATTGCAAGTCTTCTTGTATTTTTTCAGTAGCTGTTAGGGACAGCTTTGAGGAAGCAGTAAATTATATACAGTATAATGGACACCCATCTTTGACCAAGGTAAACAGAAAGAGCTGCCACACTCCTGTTTAAATTCATGAGAAGCAGATTACCAGGGATAGTGGTGATGAATATATGTTTCAACTTGGATTTAAATCCATGCTTCACAGAAGTACAATAGAAGATTATTAGTTGCATTTTGGTTAACATTCCTTGTGCTACATAAGCAAGGTTGGTTTGCAGACCAGGAAAGCAAAGCTAAAACCTAGAGAAAAGCAAAGTATGTGTATGCAGAGTGCATATCTGAAGCTGATATTTGTTGGGAACTAACCTCATTGCTGTGTCTGTCTTGCTGTGGTTGCAGGGTAGATACTGTAATCCATGAGTAGCTCTCAAGTGTAATTCTGAAGTATCAGTCTGGCTTTCCCTCACCTCTCTGGTTTCTCAGTACGCTGGGTCTTGGTCTTGAGGCATGAAGGGCTTGAAGGCTGTTCATTAGTGTAATTGAGTCCCACTCTGTACAATATTGTCAGACAGATTAAGAGCCTCTTTAAAACCCACCAATTGGCTCTCATTCAAAAGACCATACAATCTATATAGGTTGTTACTCATGCTTTACCTAATCCTTAGCCATTCTTTATATGCCTAGAGAAATTTTGTTTAGCCAAGAGATTTATTCCTGAGAGAGAACATTGTGAAAAGATTTTTCACCCAAGCTTGACTGTTTATGCTGCATTTTATTCCTCTCACCCTAAAACCCTGTAAACTCTTGTTGATGGTCCCTGGATCATCTCTGGATTATCTGTCCTCAGCATTTTCTAGACACGTGTCCTGGGGTTTTTGGTAGCTTCCATAGTCTGAGTAATGCCTTCTAAGTATTTGAGCTTTCAGGCTGGGCTGGGAGCAGGTGTGCATGTTCCTTCTTCCCAGTCAGCTTCCCTCTTTTTTATTCAGAGTTTCTTGTCTTTAACATTGTTTATCTTTCCTGTGAGGTTTTGAGTTTGTTTCCTTTTAGCAATCTATAGAGTGGTTTATTCCATGGTAGCCCATTACAAATAAACATATCAAGAATGTGCCTTATTGAGAAAACAATTCAATTCCTAGATTCCTGTGGACTCATTTGAAAATTAAAACCCTGCAGAGTGTTTTTAATTAAGCTGATGAGTCTACTTTCTTATATCAAAACAACATCAAAAAAGAAATCAAAGAATTCACAAGTTCTGATTCAGTGTCCAGCTGTCACTAAGCATTTTAATGATTTTCTGTCTCCTTTAAAAAATTTTGGCAGAATTTCTTCTCCTCCTGACACAGTTAAAAAGCAATCCTATGTACAAGAATTATGAATAGTCCTTCCTGTGTTGATCAGCAAAATTCATTTTCTTCCAAAATTTTTTATTTTTCCAAAAATTGCTGTAGAGTATTGGTTCGTTGAGCTTTTGTAAAGGGAAAGCTCTTTTTTTTTACTACTTGATATTCTAATTGGTATTCTTTGAAGGAAAACCAAGAATTTCCCCTCTTTAACAGATAAGAAACTATTAGGTAGCATGTTCAGTCCTGTGTACCTTATTGACACTGGTGTAAAGCGAGCAGGTAGGAATTTATCTTGGGGTCATGCTGTTAGGTAAGACTGACATTGTTTATTTTCACAGTCTGATACCTTTCCCATAAATTTTCTGATACTTTTCACATAAACTTTTCATCAGTTTATAATTATAAGAAAAACCTTAAACTTTCTGCTTAAAAATAATGACTTGGCAGGAGAGAAATTGCTCTCTGGGTTGATGATAACATTGGTCTTCCTTCATTTTGGTCCATCAGCTGCATGGCTCTTTTATCTTTTGAGAATGGTTTTCTAGCTTTGCTGTTTGCTTTTCTTTGCTGATAATCTTATCCTCTATATGTTTTAAAACAAAAGAAAAGAAAACAACTCACAGAAGCAGCTGTTAATGTTCTTTTTCTTACTCTTCCCTGTTGTACTTCTACTGAGAGGTGCTTAAACCCTGGCAGAAGATAGGAAACACCATTATTGGAAATGAGACACTGCAGCTTATCAGCAGTTTATCAGCTAATGCTTCTAGTCATCCTTCCAGGTTGTTACACACAAATTACTTACATAAATCTGATTCAACCAACACTTCTTTAAATAAGGATATATATATGTATATATACATGCACTCTTGCCTTTCCTGTTGCTTTTCTTGGAGCACATTGCCTGTTCAAAGTTGCCACCACGTCCGTAGGGAGTAGGATAATGACAGCGTGCTGCCAGCCCAGCCTGTGAGGGTGGTCTTTGGTCTTCCAGGAGATGCAGCAGAAGTGGAATCACTCTGGATTAGACCTGATTCACTGTGCTTCTGATCCACAAATGGGAAAAACTAAACTATGCACACAAATTGCTGTATTTTCTACAGCTGACCAGTAGCAACTGGTTAAAAGGCAAGATGTCAGATGTTATATGCCAATATATGCCAAATTCTTTATAGACAAAGATCTCCTGCTGGCTGCTATGTCTTTTGCATACATTTACCCCATGTGAGTCTTGTCCCAAATCCATAGAAATATGCAGACAATCAGTACAAGGTAGTAAACTAAAGGCAGACATTTCAATATGTAGTTATGGTAGTAATTAAAAAATTAACAAATAACAAAGTCATTACCAAAAGGACACATCTATTAGACATGATAAATGGCCTTTTTCAAATTTTGGGAGGCAGGCAGCTATAAATACTGGGAAAGATAGAGAAGCTGTTCACCTCCCCAAGGAGAAGGGATCTGTGTGGTACTGTGGAGTGGGCTGGTGTGAGCTGTGTGCAGCACCTGCCTGCAAAGCACCAGATCTGTGCTTAGGGTGGTTTTTTATCTCATTCCACCTCAGGCCAGCCCTACATAGTACTTATTTTTCTGTGAATAATGCCAAGTGACAGTGCCAGGAAAAGGATTTGGGAATGAGGGACCTGTTGCCATTTCTGTTGAGGCATTTTACATTCCTTTTGCCCTTCAAGCAAATGTTCCTGTTCACTTACTCTGTGTGACTTTTGTGTAAATTGGAAGCTTTATCCATTTAAAAAATGGACAATGTTAATACACCACAGTTCCACTGAAAACAGCAATGGTCACTGAAGTAGCAGCTCCTGGTTAAACAGAGGTTTGCTCTGGGGAAGTGATGTTCTTGCTCTTCAAATACTGCAGCATTGTTCTGGGAATATCATACAGCTCAAAGGGCTTGTTTGTTAGTACAGCACTTTTCACTGTAGCTGCTTTTTCTACAGTGAGGAGATCTGCAGTTCCTCTGAGATCCTGTGTGTTCCTGGCCTCCCATCACGGGATGTGCCTTGTCAGCCCAGCTGGCACATGCACGAGTCTGTGCCAGGTGTGCTGGATGCACAGGGAACAGCTCCTTTCTGTCTAACTCTGGCTTCAAACCTCTTTCCTTCCAGATGTCCACACAGAAGCAGTGCAGGCAGCCCTTGCTAAACATAAAGAAAGGAAAATGGCAGTCCCCATGCCCTCAAAACGACGTTCATTGGTGGTGCAAACATCAATGGATGCCTACACACCTCCAGGTGAGTATCTCTCTATTTTTATGAGACTTTTAAAAGTGGTTCTTTGTGCTGCTATGAACTGCAAATCTGTCAGCATAGATAGTAATGGAAATGTCATTTGATGCACACTGAGCTTAACTGAGGTATGTTTGAAGGGAAGGTGAACTGAGTAGTGGAAAAGTCAACAGGGACAGTTCACATGATTGCTTTGCCCTTGGTGATAACTTAGCTTGCACTGGTCCTTTTGGACTTACAAGGACCTAGTTATGGCCAGCTTGTCATATTTTATGGTAGCCAAAGTTCCTTTCAGTTTTCTGGTTTATTCCATAACAATGTAATGTAACATTGTCTTAGCATTTAGTTGTGCCATTCCTTTTCAAGTTTATCTGCTCTTTTATCTACTACACTGTGAAAATATCCTGTATCTCTTGCTTCTCATGGTCTCTGAGTCCAGCTGAGACCCCCATTTCACTGAAGATTGGACTTTGTACAATTGGAAAAGTGTCTCACAGACTTTGTGGAGTGAGCTTGGGAAAGTTTTTTTTTTTTATCCTCTGCTGGCTGGAGATCTTCAGAAGGTTCTGTGTTTTATATTGTAAAGGAAGACTTTAATTATCTTTTTTTTTGTACAGTAATACACGTGCCATAACCTTAGAGCAGGAGAGGTGCATAGTTATCAACTGACTTGTTTCAGGGCTTTCAGTACTGTACCTTTCTCATTATGTTTGCCTACCTTCCTGAGATTTTCTTAATGGCACTTTCTTGAGATTTTTGGTATGAATATGAGTTATTTCTAATAAGAAAACCCTGGAGCACTGCAAGTTAACAAGCTGTTTTTAATTACCAGATACTTCTTCTGGTTCAGAAGATGAAGGCTCCGTACAGGGCGACTCCCAGGGAACTCCCACCTCAAGCCAGGGGAGTATAAACATGGAACATTGGATCAGTCAAGCGATCCATGGCTCCACCACATCAACCACTTCCTCCTCCTCAACACAAAGTGGAGGCAGTGGAGCTGCACACAGACTAGCTGATGTTATGGCTCAAACACATATAGGTCAGTATACAGATGTGTTTATTGTGTCCAGTTTAACATGAATTTTGACTCTCATTCAGCTGATGCCGCTATATGAAGTCTTACAAAAGTCTTTCCTGTGCTTCTTCTTTGATTTTTAATATTTATATATATTACATGGAGGAATAGTCCTATGTTCCTGTTTCAAGAGAGGAAAAAATAGCACTTTAGATTTGGGGGTAAGCTTATGTTGTGACAAATCGGATCTAGCTGTTGGTTACCAAATACCTTAAAATGTACAGTTGCATGATTTTCATTACTTGGCACTATAAAGGTCTCTGTAGAATTCATCAGTAAGGAAAATCAGTGCATGCATCATTAGGGATTGCTTGCATATGAGTTTCCCCCACTGCTGCGCCACTTTTAATTACATAGCTTGAGTGATTTTTGATAATTCTGTTAACAGTAGACTTCTTAAACATATTTTTTTCTGCCCTTAATTGAATTTAGAATGCTTGAACTGGGATATCTAGTGATTATACTCCGTGGGAGAGATCATTATATAGCATCAGAGAATGGAGCTGTTATTATTAATGGTTTGTTTATTTCCTTTGGAAAGATCCTAGGAAGTCAAAGCTTTCTTTCCATTAGGGCTAAGCTTCACAGACATTATTTCTGAATGTTGTGCCATTGACACTGGTCTTTATTAACATGAGGCAGTTATTTGATTGGATATGTGGAAAGCAACTCTTGGTTTCCGTTCACTCTTCAGCTGCTTATCATACAAGGCCTTTGCTTTGGGTATGTTCTTGCTGGGCTCTGTATTTTGGGCTCTTGCTGAAAACTGTTGCAGTCTTTGTTGGAGTAGATAAAGTGATCATACTGCTGTCTTTCTGCAGTTTTGTGTGACTGTTCTTCACCTGATGTTTCCTTTTCAAGTATATGTAATCAGATATATGAAAGCATCTTCAGAGCTCCTGATTTTATGTACTGGATTGGGAATACAAATCCCTTGGTTTTTGCTATGAGTATAGCTTGATGTAACACCTGTATTTTCACATCATGATCTGGAACTGCTGAATTGCAGTCACGGGAAGAACTTGTATTGTATTCATAAATTCATGCTAAATGAATGCTTAGAACCTGGTTTTAGAAACACATACATTTGGAACACATTAATCATTGCATTTGATTATTTTCTGTGACTTCATCTTGAAATGCTACAGGAAATTATAGCATAGAGAATTAAATTTATCCAAACTCTGAAAGGTTGCATTACTCACACACAAAGTCTTAATGTGTCTTTAAATATAGCTTCTTTATAATTTGACATTTTAGTTATTTTAAATCTGGCACAGTAAATCTTTTATAATCGCTGAGTTTGTGGTAAATAATACAGCATTTATGGAGCTAAATTAAGATGGCACTATTCTTCACAAGAGGGAAACTACTATTTCTTATGCGTGTTTTATTGTGCCTTGACTAGAAGGATGTTGCCTTTGAAGGAAGCAGTTGAGCTTACCTCAGTGTATGCATATTTTCATTTATTCTGACAATAAGATGCCTTAAATTGCATCTCTTCTTGGACAATAGTTGAGGTGTAGTAATGTAAAGGTCATTTGGGCACAAAATATGAGTGATGAGACTGGGACCTTACGGTTGTCATCAGTCATTGCTAAAATCACTGGAAATGTAAGAGAAGCTGCACAGTTGATAACTGTAATATGTATTCTTCATGGGGGTGAGCTGCATTCTTTAAGAATTTGAAATTAAATTGCTGTTCTGTTTCTTTCCCATCCAAGAAGGTTGATTTTGCATTTAAATGTATTCTAAGAGGTAATAGATTTGAAGTATCTACAGAAAGCCTGATTCTTTCCAAGGCAGTGGGCCAGTGATGGTAGATGAAAAATAATCTTTGTTTAGGAGAGAAGACGAGGGAGAAGAGTAATCCTGTTCCTTAAGGCTCCTCAGCCACCAGAGACAGTTTGTTGTTGGTCATAAAGAACGTATGTTACCATGGCTCGATGTTTGTTTGGTCCAGGGAATTATTCTCCAGAGACAGACCAGCCTTCAAGAGAGAAATTAACTGTATATATGTAAGGCCATATTCTGAAGGTGCCAATTTTGATAAATACAAATTCAAGGTGCAATGGGGATGACCTTAATGATAACCCAAAAAAGCCCTCCCTTCTGATATCCTCTAGGATTTTACTTCCAGAGTGCATTACAGAATGAAAGGGAGATTATTTTCAGTTTGAGTATACTAATGCAGTCCTGAAAAGGGATTTGATAAAAAGCTATGGCTATAATATAATCAGTTATCTTTGTGAATCATTTGGATAATTTGCATAAACTATGATATGCTTTTAATGTTATACTGTTCATTTAATTTGACTGCTGCTTTATTGTGGCCAAAGTTCTAGTTTGGGATAGATATAATTTAAATATTTATTCTCGGCTTTAAGATGTTCAGGAGTCTGCATTAAGCTATAGGCAAAACCTTTACTTTAGCATAGGTTGTAATAAAAATCACAGTGTTGTAATACTTGATACTTTTTGTAATACTGTCTTCAGTAATTCTTGAGTTTAGAGGTCAAACCACTGAAATCTGTAAAAAATATCTGATGTTCTGACTGTTTGTTGGGTGAGTACTGTGCACATTTCTAAGATCTTCAAGCTTTCTTGTTTTGGTATTACATAGTTTGAATTTCTTTGTATATAAAAACCAGGGACAGAAAGCACACCCCAAAGCTCACAAAGGTCATGCAGTGAAAATTACACAAGGCTTCCCTATCTTTGTAAATCTATATAAAATTAATCATCTCACTTCAAAGTTTTGATCCTATAGGTGCATTTGATGTTTCTTTCATATGCTTCAAATATGTTTCTGTTTGAAAATCAAAGGCCTCTATCCACATTAAAGACTACATAGATTGCTAATCAAATAAATAGAAAACCATGTGCCATAAGCATGGCTGATAGTTTTCAGACAACTTGGAAATTCTTGTGTTCTGAGGGGGACTGTTAATTTATACAGGAGACTAGTTTAATGTCACCTGGACATCAATACAAGAAAAATCCAGCTAATGGAAAAAGCTGTATCTCTGACTCTGGATTTCTCTTTCCTGACAACCAGAAGAGACAGCTTATTTGGGAGTAAAAGCTGCATTTTCTTCAAGTACAGTGTTGCAGGAATGCTTTTTGAGTTCCTGGAGACTTTTCAAATACCTGGTGCTTATGTGAGCTTCCAAACCTCCACTGAAAGTATTCCTCCACTACTTTGCTTCTCCTCAGACATGGGGCTTAGTCAGTGCACGTGCTTTATCCCTGCATGAATGTGCTCTGCTCTTTTGGAACTTTCTGATCTTCATGAAATGGGATAAATGATGTTGCTCCAGTGGCAGAAATGAAGGGAGCCTTAACTGGAAACAGCTGTTCTGTCTGTGATCTCCTAATGCAAGGATATTGGAAGAGATGGGAATAGGTGGTGACTCAAATATGTATGTTTGATGGAGGAAGTGCTTTGAAGTCATGCAGCTGTCAGTTTCTACTTTTTAGTGAACAGATGTGTCAGGATCATGATTCTTAATGAAACCTCAAACAATTCTTCAAGTTACCTGACATAAGACCAAGCAACTCTCTACAGATTGTGTCCATAGCCAAAGTTTGGATTGACTGTTCTATACAAAAACAAAAAAAAAGGGTGCATTTCACATAACATAACAATTATCTTTTCCTTTAGAAGTCATTGGACCAAATCTTTGTATGATTTTCATTTCTCCAAGCCTGACTGAGATGTTAACTGAGCGAAGATTTGTAAATCTATGAATGGATGAAACTTAGCACTGTAGATACTGCCATGATAAGACATCTGTTAAGCAGATACTATAAAGGAACACATCAAGACAAACCCTCTTTTTCTGGATAAAATATCAGCTGGACAGCCAGAGCACTAGAACTTCTTGACTGAACTGTGGTGGCAACCTTGGGAAGAGAGTTTCTTTAAGGCAACTTCAAGTGCAAATGCTGTTTGTTTAAAAGGAAAGCCTTTTACAAAGGAGCAAGACTCTTGTTTTGTTCTTTCCCCCTGCTCAACACCATGTGTAACAAAGAAGAATTTGGTTTTAAGCATAGAGTTCTGAAGAAAAGCATCCCTGCTCATGTATCTTCTGCCCCATGCATTAAAAAAAAATAAAATAAAATAAAAATCTTTAACTCCACTTCACTTTGCCTTGTAAAGTCTGAAAGATGGAAATACTTCACTGTAAAGATGTAAGCAAATACAGCTCACTTTAAAATTACTTTCTCATGTTAGTAATAGCTGACTAAGTACAATTATTTTCTTAGTCATGATCTGCCATATGCATAGCAAAACTGCATTATAAGTAAAGAGAAAAAGATAAACATCAGCATTTTTTAATTGACTTAGTTATTGGGTAATACAATCACGATCTATAAAAAGCTCTTGCCACTTAACAGGAAAGGGCAAAAAATTGTGCTGAGTCTAAAATAGTTTGTAATGACAAGAAATTTAAAATGAAGACATTATACAAGCAATTACCAGCATAAGCTTCATTGTTCGATCTATTGTACTTCAGTTGGTCACTTATAGCACAATAGAAGGTGTTTGTTTCAATAAAATTGTAACAATGGATGTGATCAGAAACAAAAGCTCCGACTGGACACTTATAGAATGTTAGATATTTTTGAGTTGCTCAATAAAAGCCATTTCATGTTTTCCTCAACAAGATAATATGATTGGGTGATAGGATTGAGCCCTTACGATGTTCATGAATATAAACATTAAATAACAGCTGCAGACATTAATGCCATGTCTTAAATCTGCATGATGATTACCTGTCAAATGCTACCTTTAAATGAGAGTATGCAAAATAAGCATCTATTAGCATCCTTTTCCTGTATGTGTAGCAAAAACAATTAAGTTTTCTGTGTTGATGGTGCATAAATTTGGGACTGAATGCACAAGAATCACAGTGTTTCAAAGTTCAAAACTCAAAAATGACAGTGCTTTAAAATTATATTTGAGATTAAATTTACTGTAGAAGTTGGTGTTCTAGTTCTTAGAGTACCATAATGCTTAAAGATAAGGTTAAGTATAAAGCACATCTTCAGAACAGTATTGGAACACAATGACATTTTTCCTGAATTTTTGCATTTCGAAAGACTCTTACCCTATTGTTAAATAGAATACATTTCTCTTCACTTCCATGGCAGCAGAATGAAGACCTGCCTTCTTTTGTAACTTAGAGGCTGCTGGGGATCATTTATGTCATTTGAAAGAAATGTTGTTATTTGCTTGTGGCATTTATCTCCATCTAATCTAATGTGAATAAAAACCTGAAAAAATTTATGGGACAACCTATGAAAAGAGTACAAATATGTAGGAAATACAGACTCAGACTTGAAAACATGGGAAGACAAACTGTGGTAGCATGCTGAGTTATCAGGCCATGAAAGAGAAAGATTATCTCTGTGTAATTGTTCAGCAGTGCTGGCATGAGTCAGACCAAATCGTGTTTGCCTTCTGGAAGGCAAGGCTTTGTTATGCGGAAGAATTGAAATATCTCTGTCTAAAAATAGTAGACAAGCAAGTGTCCATGATGAATGCAAAGTTCATGTTTCTTTACATTTTATTTCTTGCTTCTGGTTTCCAAACCTGCTATGATTGACTTCTTTCCTTTCTTAACTAAAACTGACATATTCAAAATACAGAGGTTATAAAAGTGATATGCATTGGCACTTGCAAGTGATTGACAACATGCTGTGTTCTTTTTACTTAGAAAAACTAACACAATAATCCATGAGAAGTGTATTTGTCTGGGTCTTTTCTATTTGCAGATGTCCACAAGCTTTAAGTAAAATCAGATGTCAGTGGAGAGCCTACAACCTAATTCTATAATTCTTTTAGCCTATTGCTTATGTGATTGCAGATATACAGCCCTGTTTTAATCAGTGCAAACTTTATTTACTAAAATTATATTACACATTATAGTTCAGTATAATAATTTTGTGCATTAACTCCTGTTCATATGCTGGGGAAAAAACCCTCAAATCCCTTTCCTCTGCCTTTTGCTTTTCTATCCTTTGACATTAGAGGTACACGGTTAAACCTTTTAACTTACTTTTCACAGAAAATCATTCTGCCCCTCCAGATGTTACCACTTACACCTCAGAACACTCAATACAAGTAGAAAGACCACAAGGATCAACGGCACGGGTGGCACCAAAGTATGGCAATGCTGAGCTGATGGAGACTGGTGATGGTATGTCACAAAGCAGAACCGGGGTTATTTTGAGTATCCTGACCTTTTTAGTGGTTACTGTATGCATCTGCTCTTGTTTTTTGGGTGTTCTTCGTGGGCTTTTCCCCAGGCACTTTCATGTGTAAACACAAAGTTTCAGCACCTTTACAGTTCTAAAATAATGAATAATATCAATGAAGATAACATAGGGAAATATTTCTTAATCAGCAGAGCTGACTCCCCATAGAAACTGTTTGGCAAAAACTCCCAGAGAATCTCTTTAGATTTGCCATTATCATGCTGCCTGGTTACAGCTAGTCTGTTTTTTTAAAAGGCAAAGAATGTAACATGCTAGGATGGCTACAGCTTGAAAATTGACATGTTTGAAGTTTTATTCTCTGAGATTTTTTTTGATTTTTTTTTTTGAAAAACAGTTATTTGTAAACCCTTCCTTATTTACTGCTCCTCTTTTCTTAAAACTTACCAAATAATATTTCAGCCAGCATGGAATTGTTGACCAAGTGTACTGCATCTAAACTTAGTAGCTTCAGCTCTGAATACCACTTGGTAAAAGCTTTGGAGCCAACCTTATGGAAGGGTAAGAATTTGAAATTCCTGCAATGCAGTGACAGAAATCTATTAGCTCAGGAACAGATGACATGCACATTGGAGAGGTTTTACACTCAACTAGAGAAAAGCAAGGGGGAAGTGATTGATGGGACTATATTATAAGAATGCCCCTTGCCCAGGCTGCCACTCAGAGCTGTGTTTTCCAAAGTGCTGTATGGGCAAGCATGCTCTCTTTGGAGATTGCTGGCTGGTGGAATTGATTGGCTGTAGGGATGTTCAGAGAGTACAGGGGCATGCTGAAGTAATACAAAGACATGGATCATATTTAAGATGGGTACTGGACAGATGTCCCCTGCAGTGTAAAAATAACCCAGAATAAACGATGGGGCAGAGCCTATTACCCACACTCCTCACCAGGCTGCAGTCTAGTCAGACAATATTGGTATGGCCAATGATCATGGGGAGGGCCAGCACTGTTTTTCTCACTGGCCATTGCTGAGGCAATTTTCTCAGGGTACTGACATTTGCTGTAGGGACATTTTTTCCACTGCACTTCTCTCCCTCAGTCTGTGTGCTGTTCCCCCTCTAATTTTGCAACCTTGCTCTGACATTGTTGTATTGGTTTTATTTACCTTAGTCTTCATTGTTCCTTTTTGCTTATATGTTTTGATGTTGAATACTTGAGTCACGGTATGGCATGAAACTGTAGTTGTGGTGGCCTTGCAGTCCTCGACTTTTTCTTACCCCACTTGACATCTGGTGGGTGCAGTGTAGCTGTCGACTGATGTCTCCATTGATCCCTGTCCTGCAGGAGTACCAGTGAGCAGCAGAGTGTCAGCAAAGATTCAGCAGCTGGTCAATACACTAAAACGGCCCAAACGACCACCATTACGAGAGTTCTTTGTAGATGACTTTGAGGAATTGTTAGAAGGTAAAATGACTGTTTTTCAAAAGGTTTGGGGATCGCTTATTGAAACTCTGTAAAATGTTTATCTCCTACGTTGACTTTCTAGAAAGCCAAGTAAGCCCTCCCTGTACTGGCAAGTACCAAAAAACCATTGGTGTTCAGTGGAAACTGCTGCTAGAAAGCTTGGACATAATGCTGTGGAGTCAAAAATGTCCCTTGTTTGCTCAGCTCCTGGTTCTGCTTGCAAAGAAATTACAGAAGACAGTGTAGGGAAGAAAGTGAGAGCATTCATTGCTTTGGAACACCAATAAAAGAAAATCTGTTAGTGAGGAAGTATATTAAATGTTTTACACATCCTTTGTGTAACAGTGAAGTATGAAAAATTAACTAAATGTAAAATAGAAACAAAGATAAAGTCAATAAATGGAGCTTATTTTTAAAAAGACAATTTCTTCTTAAAATTAAGATTTGACAGGATGTGGAAATTTAAATAGTCTTCACAGGAATTTATAAGAAAACATGTAACAGAACATGACTTAAATCAATCTGTTACTTGTTAAGCTACATTTTTGTCAGTAGTTCTGCAGTTCATCTCATTACTGCATTTTTTCCAGGAAAAAGTAATCTCCATCTCTCTTTAGAAATAAATAAAGGTTTACTATTTTGAAGATAAATATATGCATGCTGCCTCAGCAGTTTCTTTCCCTTCTTGTAGAACTAGTGCAAGAGCAAGGACTTTTCATTCCTGAGGTGCATAAATTGCTTTATCTGTGTTAAAGTTAAAAGTAAATTATTCTGTTACATTCCCTGTTGCTTCTCAATACCTTCTTCTATGTTACTGTTTTCAGAACATTTTGCAAAGGTAACTTATTCTCTTGATTACACAGGTGTACACAAGGTATAGAATTTACATGGTAACTGTATATCTTTTCATAATCATAAGTTCAACAGCCAGATCCAAACCAGCCAAAGCCAGAAGGAGCTCAGATGTTGGCTATGCGTGGGGAACAATTAGGTGTGGTTACAAACTGGCCGCCTTCCCTGGAAGCAGCCTTGCAGCGATGGGGGACCATCTCACCAAAAGCTCCTTGCCTAACCACTATGGATACCAATGGAAAACCACTGTATATTCTCACTTATGGTGAGTACTCTTTGAATTATTTGTGTTTTTATGTGTTCTGTTCAGTGTGTGTAGTAAATGGCGTAGAGTGAAAAAAGCCTTGTAATGATATACCTGTTCCATTTGTGAGTAGGGTAAGACAACTCTGAAGCTCTTGATGTCTGAGTTGCTGAGATGTTATAGTGTGATTTATTTCAGACAGAGGAAAAGAGCTGAGTAGATACACCCATGGAATAACAGATTATAAATTGAAACCACCTTTTAAATAGAAATGTGTCCGAGGTCAGATTTGCCTGAAGATTAATGTCCAAATCCATTGCCCTTGGATATCATCCAGGCTTTGTTCTGCAAAAGCCTAACCTGGTCTACAAAAATCATCAGCTTCCTCAAGAAGTTAATAGGATTTTTTCTCTTGTTTTACTGACATTGTAGTGTGATTTGAATTATTTCTCTTGATGGGTTAGTTGTACAACTAGCAAATGTACCCCCTTGAAATAGATTTGCCAGGATATATTTTAGTGTGACCTTTGCTATGTTCATGTAGTTCAATGTGTACTGCCTGACAATGTATTGCAACCAAGAAAGGCCAAATACAAATAAGCATAAGGATATCTCTGACAAATACCTCCCATATTACTTCTAATTTTGAGATGTTCAGGGGACATTTGGGAGATGTTCAAAGGAATTTATTATGAATGTCAGATTTTGCAAGCAAGTTGGAACATTTCTGTGTGCTATTGATATGGATATAAAAATTATTTTGCTTTTTTTATTTCTACCTTCTCAGGGACTTGGAGTTCTGTGCAGAGAATGTTGTTCCATGCTGTGATATAGAGGTCTGTCTGTTTTGTTCAGGGCTGAGCATTCATATCCATTCATGAGTCAGACTCAGTGATGGTCTCTGGCCAAAAAGTTGTCTGCTGCAAGTTTGGCACTGCAAACACAGTTAAAGGCTTTCAAAGCATAAGAGAACCTCTGCAACTGAGGGTCATGCAAGAAACATTTTCCCTTCAGGTACTTCAGAGTTAAGAAGTGACTTAATTTCAGGGGCAAACATATGATTCAACATTGATGAATGTTCTTCTTCCTTAAGGACATTTACTTGAAAGTAGGGAAGAATTTTGAAGTTTGCAATTACATGTTTGCAGAAGTCATGTCTCTACCAAATGCCCTAAATAAATTGGACAGGAAAGGAAATTAAGCTGTTACTGAGAATCAGACCATTTTTCTGAATTTGGGATTCTGTCCAGAGAGTCTGAGCACATGTCCTGCTTTGCCTGAGGCTGTAGGGTGAACAAATCAACCCGAGGAACATATCTGCTTGGCTCATGGAGCCACCTAGCCTGCTTCTCTGTTCTAAAATAATTCTTTCCTCTTCTGCGTTGTCTGAATCTTGAGAAAAGTAAGACTAAAATTTATGGTTTTGCACCTTTCATTTGGCAGCACTTTGGGATGTGGTTTTCCTGTTGCCTTTTAGTAGTTTCCTGAGGTCAGAAAAAAAACCTGATCTTTTTTTTTTTTTTTTTTCTTCTTTTTATAGATAAAAGAAATTACAATCCAAACAATTTCATAGATTTGCTGAATTCTTCTCTGCTAGGTGCATTTCATGCTGATATTCTTTTTCATAGGAATTGTTCATTCACTATTCCATAGTAGTTTCCTTAAATGAAAACTGCTTTGGAAATGTCATTAACAATACAGCCACCTGCCATTTCACTGGTAACTTTATGAATGATTTTTCTATAGCTAGTCCACCTCCTCTGCCTGCAATATTTTCTAGCAATTGCAGGCACAGCAGTTTTTAACTTGAAAATTAATAGACATTAAGCCTCAAAATCATTAAAGACACTCCTACTCATGACTTTTTACCCTTGTGCATAGTTCCACTGGCCCTGGTAGTAATAAACTTTTGAAAGATGAGCTTAGCCACAGTCCTACCACATGGTATTAACGTGACACTCAATTTCCTCATGTGCTTGCTATGACCAGGTGTCTAAAATTTTAACTATCAACCCTGATGATTTTTAGTAGCCTCTAGTTTGTACTCCACAGTTATTTTCAAGTTTTTTGTCAATTTAAGGAAATGCCAGGAAGTTTAGTATATTTCACAAATATTCATGAATTTTAAGAATAATTCTAATTTTCCAGAGTTTTGGTTTTTGAGATGCTGTCATCACTTGCACTTCCTCTTAAATTTTTTTATTTCTATGTACTGTTTTTGCTTCAGTCTCTTCTCACACCACCTTGTCTTCGTGGAAATCCTCTTCCTTTATCCACCAACCTTCCAGTTAGGAGGTGGCTTCTCTTTGATGTCTTTGGATTTAATTCTCAGTTTTTCTGTTCCTGCGTGGGTGAATTGCAGGTTTGCCTGCTTATTCCACACTTTTTCCACCTTTCCAAGATGATTTCCAGGAGTGTCTCTGTATATATCAGCTAGATCAAGGCCCATCTTGAGCAGGAGTTCTAATGCTCCTAGCACCAAGTACATATTACCTCCTCTTTAGTGGATTGTTGTAGACAATACTGCCTTCCCATCCATCTCTTGGGCTCTAACTAGAGTACCATACACAGCCCAGACATTTGTTTCTTTCTTCATTTTTCAGACATTCTGAGTCCAAACCTTGCAGGTTGTTTCAGGAGGAAATCTTTTCAAATTGAGGCCTTTTGTTGCATCTGCTTTGTGAAATCTCATCCCATCTGTGACCTTGGTCTCGATTTTTACATCAGGCTCTCTTCTGGCCCTGAAGAGTGCTGGCCTCTTGCATCAATCCAGGATGCTTTCCTATTTGCCCTTGGTGGTCTTGCATGCTGAAAAGGAGCTCTGAGAGTCCATAAAATTCGACTTCTCCAAAGTCCTCCTGACAACTCCTTGGCTGTCCCTTCCAGAGACACCTTTGAGGGCTCAGACCAGAGGCCAAGCTATGCTCTGCCGTGGCAGGCAGTGGTGGATCAGTGTTGCAGGGACCACCTTGTGTGATATACTGGCATGGATTTCTGCCCCTCAGGGTGCTGATGTGGATATGTGTTAGTGTGGCTTTGGGTGGTGAGTGGTCTAGATTGTGAAGGGCTTCTGGACTAGAAGGGGAACAGCTCAAATAAGTTGTTCTTCCAGCTGTTGCTTAAAATAATTGCTGCCCTCCCATTTCTCTGCAGGAGTTCATCAAATTTGTAATGCCTTGTATCTCCTGTCTTTTTCAGCATGTTTTTTGAGCTTCTTGTCTTCATAGCATGTCAGGACTGGATTTTTCCACATGTCTCAGATTACTTTAGATATAATAAATGTCTGCAATTGCAGACTTGATCCTTTTTTTCAAGCAAGTGTTTGAAGCGGTTTGCCTCAGCTCTTGAAGTTCTTCTCAGTACCCCAGCTGTAATCTTTATTTAATGTACTCAAAACTCTTAAATTCTTTCTGCTGAATGAAACACTATGAATATTACTTATTTCTCAAATATTTTGTTCCTCTGGGAACTTGTTTAAGTGGAGAACATCTTAGTTATTCTCAATCCCTTTATAAATCAAATCACTGAATATGCATAAATTGAAATGTCTGAGATATGGGAAGGAAATACGTCTTTATCAGGTTTTATGAGAGTCTGAACTCTGACTAGAAAAGACAATTTCTGGCTCAGACAAAGTTAATCAGAGTAGTGAGGCATCTGGCTTGGACATTAATAATGAAGCGCTTGGTGATTTCTTAGAGGAGAAACTTGAATAAAGGACAATTAAATCCTATATAGTTCTTATGATATCAGCAGACCTACTTTTCTTACTTAAAGTGACTCTTCTAAGGAGAACCAGAAAGGCTGGAGAAAAAGTAAAGGGTTGAAAGTACTTTAGCAATGTACAAGTTTTGAGCCTTCTTCTTATAACCATTGTTAAAAACAACAAAATGAGTACCAGTTAAATTTGTCTGAGTCAAATAATCTAATTTCCTTTATCTAACACTATCTGTAATCATATTTTTTAAAACCATTTTCAGTAGCTCTGATGTAGTACTTCCCACATCAGATGCCTGCTAGAGACAGTAAGGCTCATAAAAAAAGTAGATGTGACTCTCTGGGCAGAGGACTATTTCTTCCATTTGGATTCTGTGGAGAAGGAAATGCTTGGCCAATGGCATTTGTTTGCAAATTAATTGCTGATTTTAAAAATAACTTTAAGCAACTGTAAACATTTTGGAGCCAAAGAGATCCTGCCTCAGCAGAGCTGATGTTGCTCATACTAGAGATATCCTGGCATACCTTAAAGGTAACAACAGACCAAAAATAGCCAACCCCAAGCCATTCTGCACCTGGTGTGCAATGTGCACCCTTTCCTGACCTTTCTGTGAGAATATCCTAGACAAGGAATTATCAGCAGGAGAGAGACAGATTCAAGATGCTTCTGACCAAGTAGCTGCACAACCTTACCTCTGAAATAACTCAGAACTCACAGAAGTATGAATAGTCATGGTTTAAATCCCCAGATAGATATTACTCTTATGATTGTTGAGTACTTTAAACCTTTATTTCTTTAGTAAAAAGACTGAAAATTGCTGTATTATATGATTCAGACTTCAATATCAAGCACTGTAATTAGCAAGGTTGCCTCTATTCTGACTGTGTCTGGAGTCTTTCATTCTCTGCAACAGAACATTTTTGTTCTTTTTCTTTGGATTTTTTATCCCAAAAACCAACAATTTCATTTTATGTTTAGGCTGGATCTAAAGAGTTCATGAAGAAAGGATTACCAGAATAGTAAAGCTGCAACTATTACTTTGCAAAGCAAAAGAAAAGCCCCTTTACCTGCATAGCATTAGGAAGTTTGCCATTTACACTAGATTAAATAAATGCTCTTGTTTCTATTTAATACAAGGAATGTTCTACTGTGGTATTGAGAAAATGAATATTTGACAAAATTATTTGCAGTTAAACTTTGGCAGTCTCGCAGTTGCTGTGCACAGAGATTGGTAAGCAACTACTGGTTTGGTTTTGTTGAGTTAGTGCTGTGTGGTTCTGAAAAGTGTCCTGAAGATGATTAGGAAATTCAGTGTGGTTTCTTTTCTGCGTTTTCTCCCTGATACAGCTTTTCTATTAAAACCTTCTTTACATTCAACACAAACAATTAGTCCTTTTACAGGTTTGGAAAGGAAGAGGAAGGGGATTTACCTCATTGTCATGTGGAAAACACCTAATTTTTGTTAACAGATCCTTTTTTGTGTGTTTTTTAACACTTTGTGTTTTCCTTTACCTTCATAATGGGTTGCTTAACCAGACGGGACAGGGTATTATCTGCTTTCTCTTGCTAAATTTTATTGCCATCTGAGTGGTCTTAAAAAAAAAGATGACTGAATAAAAAAACATATAATTTCTGCTGTAGAGTTTATACTGCTCAATTAAATCAAAACCCCAGTGGCAGGAGAAAAAGGACTAGCTCCACATGGGTGCTAAGAGTGTTTGTCACAGCTGCCAGAAGGCGAGATGCCGTTTTCCATCCTGTCCTGCTGAGCATTTCTGCACATGTGATGTCTGCCGGATATGGCTCGGATTCACAGGCAGAGTGGTGCTTGCTGTTACTCACTGGACAGTGGGAACTCTCTGCTCAGTTTGCAAGTGTGTGAAGAACCTGAAAGCCCTCCCTGCAGAAGCGTGCTGCTAGGGCATGGGAGTCTGGCAGCAGCACTCTGGCAAAGTGACAGAAGTGGCTAAGTGAAAACCTTTAGAAGAAGATTTATTTCAGTAAATAAGCAATTATAAGTTAGGCAATGATAGATGGACAGAAAAGCTCAGTTTCTTACCATTTCTTGGAATTATACAAGATTTTGGAAAGCAGCACCACAATTAGCAGTTCAGTGGGAGGTAAGAACAAGGCAATAAATCGTAGTAGTAACAAGGTGTGCATCAGCTGCCTGTTGTTGGGGTTTTGTTTTCTAAAACTAGCTAGGGGAACTCTACCAGTCTGCTTTGTATGGGAGATAGTTTTGTGACCTGAAAAATGAGGAGTTATTCATGTTCTTAAACATCTAGTGCCCACGATATGTGTGTGTGACTGGAAGTCCCAGCACTGGGACTGCAGAGCCTGGGCCCCTTCCAGAGGGAACCCTTGTGCCTTAAACACCACTGGACACTTCTGTAGATAACAATCCTACATTTTTTAAATGCAACAAATTGTCTAGTGAGATCAGGGCCTGAAGGCACAAATCCTGTGCAGGTGTGGTGGGTAGGAAGGTTGTTTGGAAGGACCCTGCTGCAGTGAGGATGGGGACAAGAACGTCAGGAGCAGGAGGGCTCACGGGGTCTGGTGTTTAGAGCAGGGAAGCAGCAGTGCAGCTCCAGGCTCAGGCACCTGTGCTCTGCTGCAGGAAGGGCTGAGGGAGCTCCCTGTGGCATGCCAGGGAAAGAGGAGCTCTGGCTCTGAGCTGGGACACGGGCTGCTCCACTCACTACCAAATGAAGCTGTTGCTTGGGTTTCCTACATTCCCCCTCCCCCATTTTCAAGGCAGCTCAACTTGAGCTTGTCTTGTTTTCAAGATGCTGAACTCGGGCTGAGGACAATGGGACGTATCCCCCGTGGTAACAAACAGATTTCCTCTGGAGGCCGTGTAACGAAGCGATTTATCCCTCACGAGGAGGGGCCCTAAGCCCCGTCTCGGAGCAAAGCCTTGGCTGGAGCACAGCTGGCCTCCTCTCCAGGCCTCCCACTCCCGCAGCACACATGTGCCACTGTGTGGAGGTCACGGCAAGGCCGCAGCATCGGGATTTGTGGGAGAGGTTTCAGCAATCGGCTTTTTTCCCAGCAGCATCTAATCTCTCAAGTTTGCAAAGGAAGATTTGCTCTGAATTGCAGCCTAGGCAGAAACGAGGAAGGAAACACTTCAAAGATTTCCTTCTTTATGACATCCTCTGTTTCTCAGAGCTGTTATCCTGCAGATGTGGAGGCCTTTGTGTTTCTCTTGGTGTCAGGTCAGGGAGGGCAAGCAGCAAAGGTGTCAAAACAAACCCATAGTTCAGTCCACGTCTGGTCAGAAGTTAGTGCCCCATCCAGAAGCCACTGATCTGCTCCTGACCATCCATACATCCATACATTCCTAGCTCCAACTTCTGGATTACTGCTCCTTTGGTGGCCCTTTTTTAATTTACTTTTTTGGAACACAGCTATACACCCTGCTAGAGAAATTACAGTCTTCCTGTTGAACAATTGAGTTCAAGATCTGTCTGACTTTGCTCTGCCTGCTCACGAGCATGCCTGGGGGTCCCTGGCAGCCCCCACTGGCGCAGAGTTGGCAGCAGCTGAAGGCAGGCAGAGCCTGCAAGGGTTGGAGTGACATTATAGAGCGTGTAGGGTCTTTATGTTCCAGCCCCTTCCCAGCTGAATGCAAGCAAGCTGCTTCACTCCAGTTTTCCACAGTTTCATGCTCAGAGGTACGTGTGTGCCTCAGATACTTAACACAGGTTGGTTATCATACCAGTAAATAGAGAAGGAAAGGCTGTAGTAATAGAGAATTTGAGTCTTTTCTGGGCACTAGAAAATATTATTGCCGTGTTTGTGCTGTTCAAAGTGTATTCAAACAGAAAGGTGAGGATTTAGGAAGGCAGTCTTATATTATCTGTGTCTTAGAAGATGAGACAAAATTTTGGCAATAAAAGAGCATCATGACAAAATGTGTTTAAACTTATTTAAAATCCTTTAATTTTCTTAAGTTCTCTTTGTGAGAATTTAATTTTGGCATTTATCCAGAACTCTTAGGTGAAGAGGATTGTACTGCATACCTCTGAAAAAATGCATCTAAATACTGTAATATGACTAGCCGTTAGATTTTAAGGAATATATTTGATGGCACGTGTGATAGTTAAAAAATTAGTGTGAATATGTCACAAATGTAAATTTACGACTTTTAACAGATTTAGTCTTTATAGCTCAGATATAACTTTTCACAGCAGCTTCTTCAGTGTCTATTTCAAATTTAAAAGTGTTTTGTGTAAAGATGGTTTTTTTGCAATTCAGAACTTTTGCCAGGCTTTTGATTTCCATCCTCCAATATTCTGTATCATTACTAATTGCTATTTTAAGTTTATTGCCAGTAAAGCTTTAATGTTGAAAAACTTTATGAAAAAGAATATTTTCTTTCTTAAGCCATCTTTTTTTTATCCTACTCACTTGTCAAATTCAAGTGTTAACTGTAGCAGCAGGGATGATTTAAAACAACTGTCTTTCTATCAACTGCAGGTAGTTCTGTCATAGTTCTGTGAGAGTTAATCCTGCAGACATATTCCTGTGTCTGTGCTGAGTTTCCAGTGAAACAGAATTGTGTTCCTTTCTGAGCAACAAGACAGTTCAACATGCAAATACCGGAGTAATTTTAATAAATTAAAGACTTTGGAAAGCATAATTTGGTGATACAATATTACTGTTTTCATAAGAAATAATTGCATTTAGTACTTTCTCCATAACAAGCAGCAGTGACCCTTCCAATTTTTCTTATGTGGGATAAAAGGAAAATCTGGCCTTCTCATCATACTTTATATTTACATTGGATTTGAACTTAAAAATGATTCAGTAGTATTGCATTTTATAACCAGGATGTAGAGGAACTTATTATAGCAACTGCTTGGCATAGTTATAAATAGCAATACTGCATGTTTGGGGGCCTGAACTACTGAACTCCATAGGTAATCCATTGTCAGAACCTATTATTGTTTCAGTTATTGGTGGGCATGAATTAAAGATTTGTTTCTGTCAGACTGAACAGTGCTTAAGGACAGTACCTGGGGGCCAGCCAAGCGCAAGGGCTTGTTAAACTTGGTGTTGTTCACATGGAAGTAACATGGTCTCTAAACAAAGGGCATCTGGAAGAGCAAAGATGCCAATCACCTGAAGGATTTTTGAAAGGCCTGTTATGTGGGCAAAGAGGTCTTGGTGAGAGAATTTTTCTTTATTGAGTATTGGGGTGGGGACCTGGTAAGGATTAGCTAAGAGTAGTGCTGGAAAGGTGAAGCAAGGGAGAAAAGAGACAGTAAGGAGGAATACCTGGGACAAGTGAAAGGAATCAGAGAAGGGAGGGTATGGGAGCAGGTGAGAAGGAAAAGCCAAGTTAAATGGAAGAAGGCCCAGGATTAAATGTGGATGTACTAAGGTTCAGAGGGTCCCTGCTGCTTCAGTGTGCCCCTTTGGCTGTGGGGTGTTTTCTGTTTGTTGGGGTTTTCTTTTCTTTGCCTCTGCTTCTTGGGACCCCTTTCCTTTTTCCTTGGTGAGAGAATTGCTGTGGTGAAACCTGAACATACCCTTGAGGTCAGTCTGTGCTGAAATGTACCGTGTCCAGCTTTCTGCAGCTAAGGTGTAAGGGTGATGTCTGGACTTGATGATGTACCAGCCCCTTCCAACAGTTAATTTCAGAGTCAAGATACAATTTCCTCCAAAATAAGAAACTTCTGCCATAAAGAAAGCTTTCTCACTTTTCTTTTTGTTTTTAAAGTGCTGCTGTCTTAAAAAAAGAAGTTCAAAGAAAACTTCTGATAAGTATTTAAGTATTTCCACTAGTCCCAGTAGTGGTACCATATTTAGTTGGAAAACTAATATAAATGTTCCTACTGTGTATTTTCGACTTCTCAGGTATTCTTTCTCTTAAATAATCTTGTAAAATATAAGAATTTTTATATTAATTTTGAAAATTTTGTGTTAATAGGCAAACTTTGGACCAGAAGTATGAAGGTTGCTTACAATATACTACATAAATTAGGCACAAAACAAGAACCAATGGTACGACCTGGAGATAGGGTGAGTATCTCAATGATTATTTGTAACAGTTCAAATCCAATATTGACAAAGAGAGAATGAGGTATTTGGGGTGCTCATAGGAAATTAGTGAAATGAAGTAATGGGCTGTAGGACAGGGTGCTGAAATGGGCTCTTTCCTCCCTAAGACTGATCATTCAGACATGTTTTGAACTGCATGATAAGTAATGTGAGCAGGTACCCCCTGGACTTGAAGTTGTGGCAACATCAACAATAAACATTCCCATGGAAAGTGATTTTTGGTCATTGAACAACCGTCTGTTTAGAAAAAGCTTGCTTATGGAGCCTGGAGGTGTCATGTGAATAAAAAACTTACTTACTAATGACTTTGTAGTTGTTGAGATGGTAGAAACAAGAGAAGTGTTGTGGAGGACAAAGACAAGCAAAGTCAGCACATTTTGGCAGCCAGTTGAATAAATAAATGATGCTGACTGGTAACAGAAAGAATATTTCCATTCTTACTTCTGAGTCTGATGCAGCTACTGCTAGAGGCTGAATCTAAGTAGATGGATAAAGCCCACAGAGAGCAAGAGTTGCAGAGGTAGCACTTGAAGATGTTAAATGAAGACAAGAACATCCTAGGGTTTTGCTAATATACTTACAGACCTACCCCTTTGACTGCCAAGGCTGGTTTAGCCTGCTGCTCGTTTTCTCTGCCAGTGTGTATAGAAAATTCCACAGGTCCCAATCCAGTTTGGATCTAAGCCATGGAATGGGTATTCCAGAACAAATTTGTCAGAAATGCAAATTTTAGTCCAGCTATAATGCTTACAGTTGTGAGTGTGGGATTAAGTTTCCCCCCTCCAGCATCTGATAGCAATTCTCAAACTGTTGGTTCACTTGATCCTCTTGTGCCACATGTGAGAAACATGTCTGCTTGTATTACACATGTCTTAGGGCTTCAAAAATGAGAGCATGAATTAATGCTTCCCAGAAGAAAAAAAGAGAAAAAAACCTAAAAGTGACAGTCCTTCCTGTGTTTCTTATTGAAATAAATCATAAAGAAATTAACTAAAGGATCTCTAGATGCTTAATCTAAATTGCTTCCTACAGTGGCATTCAGCCAGGACTAGGATCTGAAGACTCTCTTTTACTTGACTTACAAGTATGTCTTTAAGCAACAGCAGAAGCAGCAAGTTATTCAAGTGTACACATCAGAACAGTCCATCCAGAAAGCTCCAAAAGAATGAAGTTCACATATGGGCAATGTGCCTCTCCTTATTTACTGTGTGCTTCCTGCCCATCTTCGTAGTCATTTTCTGCAGCAGTCGCTGGCAAGAAAGGATTTGAGGATAGTTCAGGATGAAAACTGGAAGTTTAGCTAGCACAGGACATGTAAGGTATAAATTGCAGCTCATCTAAAATAAATCAGACTAGATTAGAGTGAAACAAATGTTTGTAGCTGAGTGCTGAAAGCATATGCTTTGTTTCATAAAAACATCTTGCCTGACATCCTTGTGTAACAGGAACGTGATCATTTGAGGCAACTTCACATTGAAGATGAGGTGTTACAGCACTACTGATGCCCTAGGCTGATTCTGGCTCTTACACCCCTGTTGTAAATACAAAAAACCATTCTGACCTCTTTGAAGGTGACTTTATTCTGCGTAATGTGTATTGTGTGACAACACTTAAAGGCAGTTTTAAATACTAAATGAAATGCAGGCACATATGTCTGGTCTTTTCCGAATGAGAATATTTGTTTCTTTATTTTGATATGTATAAAATAGTTTATATTTTCCCTTTAAAAACACCTTCTGTCAATACAATCTCTGCATTTCACCACTACCATTACCTCACCTTCTTTCTTCTTCACTCTTCTGAGCCAAAAAATTTATGAATGTGCCTGCATCTTCTTCCCTGTTTCTGGTATTATGTGTGGCAAAGTGCATTTGCCTTCTACAGTAACTTCAGAAATTTAACCTTGTGTCACCCCAGACAGCTGCCTGGAAATTAATCTTGCTCTCTGAAATATCTACTAGCTAACCAGATTCTCATCTGCTAATATACAGTGCATGATTTTGTTCCTTCAGCCTTATGCCTTTCTGCTTTTACATGCATTATTTATTTATTTGGTACGAGTCTGTTAGTGATTAATGTTTTTTGGAGAGGAAGTTAATGCCTCATTCCCACTGGACTTCAGTGAGATTTTTTTCACCTCTGTCAGCTCCTTTTCAAACATTCCCAGCCAAACCTTCATAGCCTTTGTGTAAGCAAAGACCAATGCAAAACCCAAGAACCCTCAAAGTATATTTTGGGATCTTTCAGATATTTGCTGGGCTCAGCAATCTCTACCATCCCCTCCATGCACCTGGCAAAATTCCTTTATTTCCATTTGCACATAGTAAGCTCTGCACAGCCATCTCCAGCACTTGGATTGTTTCATGTGCAAGTGTGCAGATAAAGTAGCAGTGTATTTGCTCTGACTAAAGAATTAGGATGTTAAAGTCTTCAGCCTAAAACCCAGAGATATTTTGGACCCACTTGGACAAGGCTGATTAGATTTCTTCTAGTTTGAATAAATCAACTTGGTATATGGAAGGTGACTATCCTTGAAGCCGTGTGAAAATTCTGGAAACACAATCTCCAGTAACTGAACCATGGAGCATACATGGAACATTTTATTTCAACAAAACTCCAGTGGATGTTGAAGCAGTCAAAACTCAAGAGCTGCTAAGTAGTTTCAGCAAATTTCAAGGGTGATAATTCAACCTTGTCCTGTGTGTGAGCCGAGAGGAAAGAGGTTTGGAATCATTTGCCATGCCTTTGCATGCCACTGGAGCTGACTGTGCAGGAGTTACCAGCTGTGTCACAGCTGTTTAGGACATGAGCTGAGAATGCCCATCTGACTGAAATTAAACAAAACTGCAGAGAGGATCCAGCCTTAGGGTCATTCACCAGTGAGAGCAATACTGTTCCCTGCCCTTGCAACAAGAGCTGTGGGCTCTCAGAAGTGGCTGGATCCTCAGCAAGGCTGTGAACCCTCCCTTCTCTTTTCCCTTAGCTGTTGGAGGATCTCAGACATTGTTCGCCTCTGGCAGGGCCCGTAGGAGTTAAGCTGCACAGCTCAGCACCTACTGAGCATTCTGGTGATTTGTGGTTGGTTTGGGCATTCTTTTATCTAAATAATTCTCTAGCCCTGAAGCTGTTAAGCTCAACAAATCCACAGCTAGGTCGGCTGTGATACAGGTGATCACCTACAGGCTGTAGGTGATACAGCCAGCTCTGGATATGACGTGTGCTTCTACTTACCAGTTTTTTGTGTGCACACAGCACACAGAAATTTTACACTGGGACAGTAGGACAGTCCTAAAATTAAACTGTTGTACAAGGCAAAGTGTAGGGAAACAAAAAGTGTTTTAATGATTGGCATAATGACATCTAGGTCTGGATAATTTTATTTGGTCACTGGTACAGTTCAGTTTCAGTAACTTCAAATTATTAGATTAGAATCTAAAATCCTTCTAATTCCATTTTACTTAGGTAATTTAACTCCAGTAAAGCAATCAGTTAATTCAGAACCAGATGAAAGGTATTGTCAATGTGGGAAACAATGTAGCATGAAAATATTTAACTACATTCTGAGTGAAAATATTCATAAAAAGAATATTTATCAGAATAAATTCTTTCTGATTCCTCATTCATCTGTCATTAGGCATTTGAATAGCTGTCTTAGAAGTGCTCTGGTATCATCTCCATCCAAAAGGAAGCATGGAAACTCCAATTATCATTATCTGACATCTAGGATAAAGTGTTTTTAACGTACATCTCTCTCTTTCAGGTAACACTCGTGTTTCCTAACAATGATCCTGCTGCTTTCATGGTGGCATTTTATGGCTGCCTGCTTGCAGAAGTTGTCCCTGTCCCTATTGAAGTGCCACTTACAAGAAAGGTGGGGAACTGACTTTATTCTCTATAATCCATTTTAGTACATACATCAGAATAAATCACAACTGAACATAGCTTTTGAGTACATTTTTGTGGTTGGCTAGCTCTGAATCTGAGGATACCAAGATTGTGTGGTGAATTATATATAGTTCTTTCTTTTTTGTGATTGAAAATCTGAAGATGTGCTTGCAGTTTCAGCAAATGCAGGTCTCTGCATGGAAAATGAGAGGAAAATTTTTCAAGAGAACAGCTCTGCCAGTCGTAGATGGATTATCTTTGTTGCCTTTTAAAGCCTTCTGGTGTTGGCCACTGACAAAGAATCATTGGCAACAACTGCTGATTTTCCACCTGTCTCTGCAACCCAAGCTATGTTATAATGCCACTGGTGCTGTGTGTGCTACTTCAAAGCTGTTATGGAAATACCTTCTCCTGGGTCTATATGTGCATATGTGTCCCAAAGCTTCTGTCACCATGGTCACCCCTGCCAAGGGTGGCACTTGAACAAATTCATTTCAGGAGTTCTTGCTGCAGAACATACATTGATAGATAAAGCTGACCAGTGCTAATCAAAATCAGTGTTGGTTCAAAGATACAATCCCGTATCCCAGAGAAGTGTTAGGAGGCAGGTAGAGCAGTTGCAGCTGGAGTGTCTGGGGGCAGTGAGGGGAGGGGGATCAGTGGTGGAGATGAGCCACAGCTGGGTCACTTACACAGGTTTTGCAGAACCTACATTGTTTTTTGAGGATGTATGTCTTGAAGGCTGTAAATACAGCAAAATGTATTTATTAATTACAAGGGTTGTTTTGGTCACATCCCCTTAATTTAGCATGTCTGGCTGCTCCCACATACCCCTTGTATAATCTCATTTTTATTAGCTACTGCTAATAATGCCTTACTTCAATTATTTGGTCTGGACTTGTCCACACAAAGAAAGTACTTTAATCTTTACAACATTTCTTTTTAAAAAGTAAATTGTTTTGGAAAATGTTGACTGAAGCCATGAGATGTTTCCAAGGAAACAGCTGAGCAAATATATTGCTTTGGTTACATTTTCAATATTTCAGTTGTCAAGGGCTTTTCTTTAAAGTGTTCCAGTGTTAGAGTACTCTGGAGCAGAAGCTCAAATCTTTGTTTCATGGACAGGAACCCTGCCTTCCAAATGAAAGCCATGAAAACAAGATTGTAAGCCCTCACAAAGACTTTGCAGTTTGGACATCTCACACAGCCAATTAACAGCTCAAAATATCTGGAGATTCCTTCCTAAATGAACCTGCTTGAGCCTTCCTCACCTCTGGGCAGCTGAGCTGACCTCAACATTTCTCGAGCCAGCATCTGTGGTGGGCCCCTGCCATGGTGAAACCAGAAGGTGGCAGGGAGAGAAGGGGTGGGAGCAGCAGGAAGGGGCAGTTGATAAACTGGTGTAGGAGGAGAGAGAGATGGTGGTTTTAGTAGAAACATTTGCATTGGGCTTTCATCATGCCTTCACATCCAAGGGCAGTGCATTTAGTCTGAGGTTGTTGCATAACACAGTGCATTATTTTGATAAAAAACAGAGATTTTATATGCATCAACAAAATAAGACCAGCAGAATATGTATATTTTAAGATCTTACGGAGTGCTCAAACGGGTAAATCTGCTTTCATTTAATGAAAAAAATAGAGAAGCAACATGGTTTTGAGGGTTAAAAGAATCTGTCTTTCCCTGTTACTATTTTCTGAGGTTTAATAACATTTTAAAGCACATAGATAGGTGTAAATTTGATTTATTTTGGAACATCTGATACCACATCCATCCAGTAAACTATAAAATCCAGCTGTCCAAGTAAATACTCTGTGTCAAATGAATAACTTTCCCTAATTTGGCTGTACCTCTTGGGTGTTTGTTTTTTTTAATTATGTGTCTCTATATGGATATATAAATATACACTTACACATGTGTGAGTATAGATATATATTTATATAATGGAATATCTACAAACTCAGACTGTTTATCTTTTTCCCCAATGTTTAAATATCAAATTAATAACACAATAACAGTGATGTCAGTTAAAAAAGCAATGTGATCTATACACTATAAATAAAGCTATGCAATCTCACAGCATATACTATTGCAAATATCTTTGCATTTGTTTATATGGAAAGGCAACTGGAGTGGAAACAATGAGATGAAAATCGTATTCTGAGTAGTCCCAGAAGGAATACCTCTGCCTGGTCAAATGGCAGTGGATTGCTTCTGGCATCCATGGGAAGATGTCATTCCTGTCATCACACAATGGCCTAGACTGTTCTTTTGTGCTTTCCATTATTTGTTCTCTTTTCTGCATGCTTCATTACATTCTGGCAGTAGACATTTTTTGGGTTGATTTCTGGAAGACAGAGATGTGAACTAGCAAATAGACCAGCAATTATTGTATTATATTATAATTATAATTATTCTATTCTATTCTATTCTATTCTATTCTATTCTATTCTATTCTATTCTATTCTATTCTATTCTTTATAAATTATATTATATTCTTACAGAATAATAAGCTCATACAGGATGAGCTATTTCAGGTAGTTACATTAGCAACTATTCTTAATATTAAAAGTTTGTATTAGCAGCTTTAATACGGTCCATTTAATACGGTTCTACATTTCTTAAAGAAGAGTTTTTCACACCTCTATGCAGAATTTTGTCCCTGGCATTTTAAAACTGGGCAGTAATTTTTTCAGCCAGGTAAACTTTTGATTTACAGATTACTCTGCAGACATCTGTACCCACATGGAAGTAGAGGCTTTTGCTCTACCAGCACATAGATTTTGTGTGTATTCCCTTTTCTTTATAGCATAACTGTTATTTTTTTAAGATTTTGGCAGCATTTTTTTCCCAGTTCATTATTAGGTGAAGGTCCATCTTGCCTTGCTCTTTCCTTCTGTATCCTACCTTTGTGTTGATATACCTGGAATACCCCCAGGACTTCAGGGGATGTGTGATTTGGCATCTGGGATGGATTGTCTGAACATCCAGCAACCATGCAGCATTCTCCAGTTTTATTCCCAGAACACTTCCTAGTGTTTGGCAAAGCAAAATTGAAAATTGGGAATCATGCAGCATGGTTTTGGCTCTTTAGACTTGGAACATCAGATCTAAAATTAAAAACCGAAATCCCAAACCAGCTCGTCATTCTAAAAACATCAGTCAGGGGTCTGCAGTCATTGAATCTCGTCATTCTAAAAACATCAGTCAGGGGTTCTGCAGTCATTGAATCAATAGAACAAGCAGCATTTTTTTCTTCTCCTTTCCATGCATTACCATTACCTTTACCACCAACACTCCCCAAAATTGTTTTGGAAATTTTATTGTTTTGGAAATTGTTTTGGAATTGTTTTGGAATTGGAAATTGTTTTAGAGCTAATCATCATCCCTTGGTTTACAGGTTAGAGCTAATCATCATCCCTTGGTTTACAGGCTCTGTTCTCTCAGAGTAGTCTCCCTTCAAATTTGATCATGTTTCCCAAACATTAGCAAACAATGTGTCCTATACAGCATCTTTTCCTTCAGAACTGTCACTTATGTTAATCTTGTCTGAAGCAGGAGTATTACAACTTTCATTGTATGTGTGATATGATGTGAATTACAAACTCTGTCATAGAATGTGCTGTCAAAGTAGATGAGATGAGAGTTTCAACATGTTGAGTTCTAGTTCCAACAGTGATTTACTATGTCCCTCATGAAAAGATTTCAAAATAAGGTTTTGGTTTCTTTCTCTTTATATTTTTTAGGTCAATGTTTTTTTCCATTTGATCGGTGCCGTGAAAAATATTATTATTCTGCTCTGATACAGTCAGGGGAGCTAATCAGTTTTTAATCTAAAAATAACATTTTTGTCCTCCAAGCACATTTACAGTTATGCTCAGTCACATGCTGTGAACATAGGAAGAAATCTATCCCTCACAGATCTTCATGGCTTCCTTATCATAGGCAGAATTTGTAGCAGGGTGTGTGTGACATGAAAGCATGTAAAAATTAATTTCTCACTCAAAATGTTATTTCCTAGCCTATTAGATTTAATGCTATGTGTGCTTCCAGCAGACATTTCTGTACTCATCCAGATGCTTTCTCTCACAGTATGATTGGAAGAATTGTGTATTGTCATAGGAAATCTGGAGATACCCACTCCAGGACACTTGAGGGTTTTTTTTTTAAAGGATGCTTCATACAGGGTAAAAACTGTTCTTCAGGAGTTCTTTTTATTAAATCCTGAAATGCTATTAAAGCTTTAACAGTAGCCAGGGAGGTATATCAATCTCTTCCAAGATGGTGAAATTGTCCCAGTCATATATTTTTTTTTATAGAAAGAAGAACTCTAGTCCAAAGGAAATATACCTTGACATCTTTCTTAGTGTTTCAGGGCTTGAGATAAAATGAGCTTTGCTTTCTCTCAGCTTTACTCATTGTAGGGCTGTAGTGTGCCAGAAACACTGGTGCTCTGGATGCTTTTGAACATCTTTTGACAGTGCATCTCTTTCTCCCCTGGATTTAAAATATGTATAAAATGATTTATATATTCTTTTCAGTGGCATAGTCTTCCAGTCCCTCCAAAGAAAGTAAATTCCCTGAGCTCCACCTGATCCCCTGGTGCATGCTGCTGGGCCCTGCAAGCCCTGTGCCTGTCCATCCCTCTTCATACACTTGCCAAAAACAATTGTCTTTTATTAAGATTTTTGGAGGTTAAGGTGCTCATAGTTGCAGATTTCACATGCAAATTGCAGGCAGATAGCAAAGCTGTTGTTTGAGGAGACAGTCAATTTCTTCATTTTAAAGCTGGTTATGAAGATTGTGTCTGCACTGTGTTTAATTTTACTAAGGTCTTTGTGTTTTTGAAAAAAGATTTCCTTGATGCCTTTTCAGTTTTGGCTCAGAACTGGTGATGCTTGGCCTTTACATCTGATCATTGCCCTATTTGTTCTTTACCAGCAAATTTTTGTCAGGGTAAGGGCACTGGAGCTCAAATAAGCATTGTAACAGAAAATAAGATTAGTTCAGTCTGTGATGCTCCACCACATAATTCTCATTTTGAAAGCAGTCTGGGATTTGCAAGTGAACAGAAGTAACCTTTATCAGGCCAACCTTTGCACAGGCTGTCTCTTCCTTCCTTCCTTATTAGATAAGCACATGCACTCTCACTCACGGAGACAAGATCATAATTGTTTTCCTTCACACAGATACTCTCACAAAGCATTATAGAAATGACATTAACAGCATGCTGAAATGCAACCACACGTGGGATTTTTTTTATCCTGACAATGAATTATCACTCTGCAGCAGGAAGAAGACAATTTGCCTCCAGGTACTGGTGAAAACCTTTAGGGAACCTTTAATAAAAGTCTGTTGAGAACTTTGAATGGCTGCCTACAGCAGAGAGGATTTCCAGCTTGCTTCATATGAAAGATTGATCTCTCTGGGTGTGTGCAGACATAGTCTAAAGCTATGCACACCTCATTTTTCATACCCCAGCAAGTGCTGTGCCTTCAAGAAATGTAAAATGATAGTTCCAAAGCCAACAATTGGTCTCAAACCTCATGCTACAGTACCTCAGCTCTGTGTCTTGCCTTCCACCTGCATTACGTGTCATTTCAAACTGTGAATTGTAGAGGATTTGCCAATGAGCGTCCCTGGAAAGTCTCTCCCTGTCTGCAGTTGGGACTGCATTGAGTTGTTTCACGTGGTCTCCACTAGCTCCCTGATGATTCTCCTACCTCCACAACATTCAGGAAAATAAAGTGGGGGGTTGCCAAGTAGCAGATAACCAAAATACCAAGTAACACTTCTCACAAACCAGTGTGTCCTGAAAATCTATTCCCTTCAGAGGTAGGAGAGTGATTTAATTTGAGAGGGGAAGAGGATTTATTTGGGTTTGGTTTTTTTTTTGGCTTTTTATTTTATTTTTTTTCTTTGTGGAAGATTATTTGGTTGTGTCTCTTTGCTACCTACAAAGTGGTTTTCACCATTGCAACCATTCATATCACATTACTCAAAAGTTAGGCTGATAGCTTTTCTGTGAAATCTGAAACAATCATACCCTTTAAAGTAGCCTTTTTTTGTGGCCACATGTAAGCTTTGACAGCCTCAGGCAAAGGACTGCTCTTTTAGCTCAAACTTCATTTTTCAAACACAGATTTTGCCCAAGGTCCTCACTGTCCTGGGCCTGTCATGCTGAGACATGAGGAGCAGCAAAGACTGTCATGTTTACATGGTTGAGTGTGTAAGCAGCATTGTGGTGTGTCTGCAGGATGTATAAAGGTGTCAGATCTTCCACCTCCTGGCTGTCAGTCTGGTATCCCAACATCACTTGAGCAGTTAGAAACATGTTCTTCTGTGGGGCACCAGTTATCAAAGAAGCACCTACATGGGGCAAGGGATGTCTTCTTCATGTCCCTGTTCTCTGCAGTAGTTTTAGATTCTGGGTCAGGATGGAGCCACTAGAAGCAGGCAGAAGATGAGGATAACTAGTTATGAGGTGTGAGAGACTGAGACTGAAGGTGGAATTGATGGACACCAAGTAGGAGACTTCCAGAAAGCTTCATTGGGTTCATACTGCAAAATCCTCAACTGGAACTCCTATGGCCCTTGAGAACAGTGTCTTTCACAGCACCTCTGCTTAAGCATCTTGATTTGCCTTTGTCTTGCAAGGCAGGATTTAGTGCAGCCACCAAAGCGTGGTGTGGGATTTGAAAGTCTATAAAACACATTGCCCATGCCTGGTGAAATTCTTCTATCTAATCTCCTGTGGCAGTGTTACATCACAGGATTGTCCAGTCATGTTTTCCTTACAACTGAAAGAATATCTGTACAGAAAAGAATGGGGTGAAGATTTTAATGCTTTTTGAGGTGGGTTGTCCTGATATAAAGCAGTCTGCTATTACAAACTGTAACATGGGCATAGCTTGTATTATGGAATCTATGTATGTGTGTGAATGGCTAGAAATGAATGATTAATATTTATGTGGACATCCTCTAAGACAGTTGATATGGCACTGAGGGAAAGCATAGTCATTCTTTCTTGTGTTATCTAAAAAACTCTACACTGTTAGTACAAGTTTCTTTTTCCTGTTGCTTTGTTTTGCTGTGAGAGGAGTTTGACAGGTGATTTCTTAGCTGATGCATCCCCCAAGGCCATGGTGTGCTGATGCTCAAGGATCCACACTTTCTACTGGTTTCCTTATGTTAGATTTCTTAATGGAATTTGTTTGGTTAATTTCTGTTTACAAAGTTCTGCATTAAATGGAATTTCATTGCTTGAGAATTAGTATTTTCTTGTTACACAGTTTGTAGCAGTCTTTTAAAGGATATGCAGTTACAACAACACTGTAATTTAAAATTGAGATCAATGCCATTGCTGCATTCAATTATAAAATCTATATGCCTTTTTTTAATTAGTAGTTAGAAATTCATACATATATTAGTTAGCATTTATTAGATTAAATTTAATGAGAAAATCTGAGCAATGTTAGTATGAATCTGATATTTTAAGGAACTCATGACCTCCCTTTAGAGATGATAGAGTAGCAGGTCTCAGAAGCTGTCTTGACCAAGGAGCGGTGTTGTCTGTGGAGCACTCCAGCCTTCCTCTTCCTGCCATTCCTTCTGAGGGACCCTCAGGAGAGCCATTCCTCCTGCACTGGTCAGGCATCCACATTTCCTTATTCTGAACAGACTCCAAGAGTGGAGACAGGTCTCATCCTCATGTGGAACCAGGATTGGGTCTGGCTAAGTGCTTGTCCCGTAGGTTTGACAACAGAGATGTGGACCAGCTAAAATGAGGGTCAGTGAGGACAGTAATTAATGCTTGACAAAGCCCACTAGGTCCTAGAAGCCCCACTGGTGCAGGTGTGGTGGAGCCAACGACATTCTCCTCGCAGTGTTGTTCGTGGAGACACCAGTATTAGTCTCTGCTGTTCAAAGAATACTCTCATTGTCTGGTTTTATATGGGCAAAGAGGATACACAAGCTTAAGTTTAAAAAACCTCAATGAAAAAGTACTTTTTCATTTTTGCCTGTTTTTTTAAGCATTCTGGCTATAATAAGCAAAAGCAAATACAATAATTATGGATAGAAGGAGCTATATAGCATAGACTTTGACAGATCAGTTAATTGTCTCACATTGCTTGCTCAGCTATCAAAGTTCTGATAACTGCTGCCATATACATATTTTGAGGTTGTATGCAAAAGCTTTTGCTCTGTTCTCATTGCTTCTCCATTTTAGGTGGTTTTATTTGACTACATAAAAATTGCATTAAGAATTACTCAGGCTCTGGGGCTTTCTTTCCATCATACAATTTTGCTTTGAATAAATCAATAGACTAAAGCAACTGTGCTGTATTTCTGGTTGTTTCCATGGTTGAGTGTGCTCTATGGTTTATTTGAAAGATATTTTAATTTGATCTTTTGAGTCTCTTTAGGTGGTTTTCAGTAGAATAATTTTGTGAAGAAAAGGTTAATATTTCAATGTGCATTTACATGTAGGGCTTTGCTCTGTTGAAGAGCCTTGTAGATGGATGTAAAGTTCATAAAAGAGCAATGACAAGACACTATACATAAAGCAGATGTAGTGCTGTAGAAGCAGAGCATTTCCTAAAGAATTGCTATGGCCTAGACTGGGAAATCATTACATGACTTTTAATCTCACTGCTTCTATCCCCTTGATGAAAGTAAAATGTAATGAGCTTACTCTAATGGGCACTTGACTGTATGTAGTGCTCCTGAAATGCGCCTGTAACTACTCAATGAAATGGTTATTGACAAATCAGGTTAGATCAGCATAAATAGGGAAACTCTTACCACTGTACACCTACCATAACATCTGAATGGTTAAAAGCTTTCTCCAGGTGGAAGCATCTATAATCCGTATTATTTCCTAGAAGTGTCAAAAAATCACAGAGTGGTTGAGATTGGCAGAGATGTGTGAAGGTGACCTAGTCCAGCTTTTCTGCTCAAACAGGATGCCCAGGACTATACCCATGGTAGCTTTTGGATATCTCCAAGTATGAAAACTCTACAACCTCTATAAGTGCTTTGTGCCAGTCACCCTCCCAGTGAAAAGGTGTTTCCTGATTGTCAGAGGGAACCTCCTCTGTTTTGGTTTGTATCCATTTTCTCTGGTCCCACTGCTGGGCAAAGTGAGGAAAGAACCTGGCTCCATCTTCTTCACACTCTCCCTTCAGGAGTTTGTATACATTTATTAGATCCCTCCCTAAGCATTCTCTTCTTGAGGCTGAGCAGTCCCAGTTCGCACTCTTTCTTCATAGGAGAGGTGCTCCAGTCCCTTCATTATCATAGTGGCCCTTTGCTGACTCTTTCCAGTAGCTCTGTGTCTTCTACTTGGAAGCCCAGAACTGATCCCAGCACTGGAGATGTGCCTCACTGGTGCTGAGGGGAAGGATCACCTCCCTCAGCCTCTGGCAATGCTTTGCCTCACATGGCTCAGGTTGCCATTCGCCTCCCTCATGCCAGGGCACATTGCTGGTTCACACTCAGATTACTCTCCACCAGGACCCCCAGGTTCTTTACTAAAAAGCTGCTCTCCAGACCATTCTGGCACAGGGGTTTGTTCCTCCACAGGTGCAGGACTTTGAATTTGCCTTTGGTGAACTTTATGTGGGCCCTGTGTGGCCATTTCTCCAGGGATCTGTCTGGATGGAGCAACCCTCTGTCAGATCAGGCATTCCTCCCAGCCACTTGTCATATTTGAACAGATGCAAGAGCAGATGCCATCTGATGGTTTCCACTGTCTTTATGATTTATGCTGCTATATACAAGAGGATATCTAGCTTGTGGAATTCCTTTGTCAATGTTCAGATGAGTTTTGATTGACACCTGAAAGGAAATAAATTTAAAGGAAAGAGACTGTTTTCTTCTCATGATAATGTGCCGAAGGACAAAAATTATTTCAGCCTGTAATCACTTCTAATCAATTCTGTGTATTTTGTCATCTCTTAGGATGCAGGAAGTCAACAAATAGGCTTTTTGCTTGGAAGCTGTGGAGTTACTGTAGCCTTGACCAGCGACGCATGCCATAAAGGACTGCCTAAAAGCCCCACAGGGGAGATACCACAGTTTAAAGGTAATCTAACCCTCCTTTATCGTGGCTTTAACTGGTCATTTACTACAACAAACTACACTTGTTTAGTGGCTGTGGGTGAGGGAAGTCCTTGCCACAGGAGCAGCTGGGCTGCTGGGACACCACTGTCCTGGTGTGTCACTGCTGGCAGGGATGGCAGTGCCAGCCTCATGGATTGAGAGCAGCACCAGTGATCCCAATCCAGTTCTCTGCTGGCTCAGCCAGGCTGCTGAGACCATCTGTGGCCACAAAAATTAAACCAACAAACTTAGGACTGTAGTAGGTGAGAGGTATTCATGTGATTCACTCCTTTAGTGAAGTATAGGTTCAGTAACTTCTGACAGGGGAGTGTTAATGAAACTGCTCAGGTCAATAACAGCTTAAACTGCTCAGCCATTCCCTCAGGGACTGCCTAAAGTCCTCAGTAGCTGTGTTAAGAAAGCAGTTCTACAAAATCTTCTTTCCCATACTACACTGAGGTTCAAAGGAAGCAATGTTTAGGTAATGGTGACACAGGCTCTTCAAGAATAAAAATCTGGCAGGGAAGGCTTTTGTCTTGTCTTATCCAGCAGAAACTCAACAAAAGCTGGCTTTTGTTTGTACCTCAGGCTGGCCAAAACTGCTGTGGTTCGTCACAGAGTCTAAGCACCTCTCCAAGCCGCCTCGTGACTGGTTCCCACACATCAAGGATGCCAACAATGACACAGCTTACATTGAGGTGAGTTAATGAAGATGCATCTTCTCCTCAAACCATTACATATGGCACTTCTGGATTAGGTAAACATCATTATTCATTCAGTAGTCACAGAAGCAAAGAACATACTGGTTTAGCTTGTTAATAAGTAATGGTTTCTAATAAATTCAACCAATACTGATTTCAGAAAAGTCAATGGAATGTTAAATTGTATTTTGGATGTTTCTAACATTAACATTTTTATGTGGCTGCTGTAGTGTTACATTACATTTGCCTTGAGCAATCTTGATTCTGTTCATTTTAGGCTTGCCCACTAGCTTGGGATGGATCAATGACAAGGTTTACAGTGAAGCTTCAGTTCTCATATCACAACCTTCAGACCCTTTGAAAGAGAAAGAATTTCTTGTTCAAATGCTTGCCTGTCACTTACTGCTTTATGAGTCACACTCCCTACAACAGAACAGCATCAGGAAGGGAAAGTTCACAATGCTGTTGAATTTAATTTTCCTCCTTTTTCTTCCCATCATTTTCTCTCCCTTCTGCATAGACTCATGCTTCTCATTCAGTGGTGTTAATATTAAATTTAAATGATTCTTCAAAGAGACTAAGTGCAAGTAAATGGACTAAAGGTGTTTCCTTTCTTTGTGCAGTCAGGACACTGGGCTAGAGAAGCAGAGATGTCTTCATTCTCAATATTGCTGATTATCTTCATCATGGAGAAATAGAAATGTTTAATTTATTATCTGTCACTGATAGTTCTAAGACACTTACATAAAGGAACCAAAAATTATTCCAGTAATCACCAATGGCCTCCCACCTCTTCTCTGCTGCTTTTTCATGAGTCTCATATTCTTCTGATCAAAGAGCTTGTGTCTTTCAGACTGTATACATATAGATTATTATCACAGCACCTAGCAAGGATTCTGCAGTCAGCTCTTATCAAATGCCTTGTAAGATGCAGAAGGGAGAAGCTGGGGTTTAGTGGTTGGCCTATAAAGTCTAACATGTAAACACTGAAGAGACTGAACTAGGTTATTCTCTGCTAAATCTAGTCATTGACATTAGTCATTGACATTATCAGAATTGTTAGAATTATGCTTCCATAATGCCTGTTTTCAAACAACACATGGATTTCAGATACCAAACCTGGGAATCTTCAGTCAAAAGGGAAAGCCAATCTGAAAAAAATTGGCTTTTGACAAAGAAATGCCTCCAAAACTCCCCAGTACTGCTGCCTTCTTAAAATAGAGTCATTAGATGTGTCCATCATTCACCTGCAGAGGAAACACTTTAAACATAGCTATTAAATAATGGAAATAGGGCACTTATTTCACATTGACTTTCCCTGCTTATTTCTTTTTAGTACAAAACATGTAAAGATGGAAGTGTGCTTGGGGTAACTGTGACGAGGATTGCACTGCTGACACACTGCCAAGCTCTGACCCAGGCATGTGGATACACAGAAGGTATGGAGTGCACTCCCCTTGCATCATCCTTAAAATCAAGTGGGGATTGTAATTTATTACTCATTGGTCTCCTACATTGTTTTACACGCTTCGGTGCCAAAGGCTTCTAGTTTTAAAAACATGATTTTTTTTTTTCATGTTTCAGGAAATATGTTCATGTTTAAAATATCTATAGGAGAGGTACAAATAATGTCTTAACCAATATAAATTCTGCAGTGGAGATTTACTTTGAAAGCTAACCTTTGAGGTCATCAGTCATGCTATACTGAAGCTTCCTTCCTTTGAGTGGGTTTGCCTTGGGTCAATGCCATGTTCTAAAAAATAAATTCTGCTTTGTTTTTGTTGGACAGCTGAAACAATTGTGAATGTACTAGATTTCAAGAAGGATGTTGGTTTATGGCATGGAATTCTTACAGTAAGTATGTTTTTTTATTCTCTCTGAGTATTTGAAAATAAAATAAACTAACCTAATATGCTTAGTGCTGTCACAAACTGGGATGTCCTACGGTTTCTTCTAATGCAATTTTTTCTGCTTTGAAAGCAAAATAAATGTCATTTAAACCCATGATCTTCTCCTAGTGCACTTACCCATAATGAGCATGGTAAAGATGTCACTGTATTTTCATGTATCATGTCAAGTACTGTGATCCCATTCTTATCATGTTATCTCACCAATATGTGATTTTGAGATCAAACTTTATAGCAGAAACTAATCAAATTAGTGCTTGCCTCTGCAGGGATATAATCCAATGGCTCAGTTCTATTCTATTGCCCCTGACTAGCTTCCCGGTCTAAACTCCCACCAACAGGTGTTTTTGGTAACATTAAGTATTCCCAATACTTTAAATTGCATTCATTTTCTACTTGGTGTTAGAATGTCTTCCTCAGTTGACATGGGAGACAACTGACATATTTTTAAGGATTTCTTCTTAAGGCGCTGTTGCAATCAGTGACTGACAAAATGTTAATGATTCACTGATCATTTTAAAAACAGATGTCAAGGCTTGAAGGGTCATTGTTTGGGGGTCCCAAGATTTTGTGGGTCCTTAGGACTCCCAGTGATCTGTTTTTCCCATGCAGTGTTCTACTGTTCTTACTATCAAAGTGCAGTAATAACATTTCTGAAGCAGAAACAATTGGGCTTAACACCCATAAGTATCTCATGTTAGAAAACCATCTTTATCACTGGTTGATAGCAAGTGTCTAACAGAGATTTTCTGTGCCTTCCTTTGCTATTAATCTTGTTCTGAACTTCATTTTTTTTCAGTATTTATCCATTTTCTGGTACCTATGCTTGTGCCAGACTGAAAGGGGAACTATCTTTTGCAGTTCTCCAAGTGTTTAGATGACTAATCCACTGGGACACTTAACCTTTCTTAAACCTGGGCTTTCCAAAACAAATACTGTATTTAACCTGAGCTGCTATGAGGGGAGGCGTGTTGCCCTCAGGAGATATTTCTAAATGGTAACAGAAGTAAAGCAGCAGCTCATTTTCAGGCTGTTTTTTTAACACTGAGAAATCACTGATGGAATTGATGGGCTCAGACTGAGAGATCAGTTTTGGATTTGTCATTGGTTTCACTCAGCTGCTTTTTCTAAACTTCCTGGAACTTTTCATGACCTTGTTGAAAATACTGGAATTAGCTCACCTGGAGAGGGACTAAAACCTCCTTCATTCTCTTAAAATAAATTGATTTCTGCTTAGTCTAGGATTTCAATTTCTTTGTCTCTTGTCTTTTAAATAATTTGTGCCCCATTTCCATTGGTAGCTTTTAGTCTTTTCAGAGATGGATTTCCATAGATTTCCAAGACAGATATCTTGATGCTTTTGTCCTTTTTAGTACAGTGTTCATATATATGGCAGTTTATCAAGCTTAGGGATAATATTAACCTACATAGCAAACATTCTTCACTCAATTGTTTTTTAAAATTTTTCCTATTTATAATGAACTTCTTTGAGTATGAATAGAAATAAAATGTTTTTCAGTACTGCATAAAAGTTATAATCTGATTAGTCTAAATCCTTAATTAAAGTATTGGAAAATGGGTGTCTGTTTCATCTTAATGTAGGTAGCTAGATAAGAGAAGATGAACGCCAGTACAGACAGACAATAAATAAACACAGAGTGATTTGCATAGATGCCCCTGCTCGTAACACAAGTAGTTGCCACAATTTTTGTATAAAACCCTTTTATCTTTTTGATTTCAGAGTGTCATGAACATGATGCATGTCATAAGTATTCCATACTCCTTAATGAAAGTGAATCCACTGTCATGGATACAAAAAGTCTGTCAATACAAAGGTAACAAACAAGAATATACAAAAGTTTGATAGTCAAAATCAAAAGTGCAAATTGATAACATAGCTGTCTAGCTTTTATATGGTGTGTTAGTAATTTTCTTATTGTTGTTGCAGCAAAAGTTGCCTGTGTGAAGTCCAGAGACATGCACTGGGCGTTGGTGGCACACCGAGACCAGAGGGACATCAACCTCTCCTCGCTGCGGATGCTGATAGTGGCTGATGGTGCAAACCCATGTAAGCTCTGCTGCTCCACTACAGGAGAGAGCAGAAAGGGGTTGCTCTCTTGCATTTAAAGCTTCAATGTTCAGCCATCATATTTGCAAAATATGCAGTTTGTCTACTACAAACTGGGACATTTATGGAAATCAGTTTGGGATTTTTTTCAAAGGATACTTTTCTTTAGCTCAACCTGAAACAAACTTGATATTCCATATAATGTTAGTTGCAGTAAATCCAGTTTTGTTTAGCATCACAGTCGAGTATATAGACTGAATATATAAAAGTTGAAGCAATGAAGACCTTAAGCTATAGAAAAGATTATAACATTTCCTCTGAATGATGGTTCTCAGATGCAGAAGTAACTGAGAATTTTAGGGGAATACTTAGGCTACTCTAGAGAAATACATCTGAATCACTTCATGACAATTAACAGCATGAGCTGTTTCTCTGTATTATTTAAGATATCAGTGTACAGGTGTTCTACTTGTTTGTAGTAGTTTGTTTGGAATTTCTGAATTAAAGTCTTAATTTCCCATATCCTTAAAAAGAACACTGCAATGAAATTGATACGGTAAATCTAGCAGCAATGGCTTTTCTCTGTAACCATAATGAAAAGATTTCATGTTCAAAAATTAGTCTTTATTCCCTGTATGCATATATGCATATGCACAACATTATAGATATATATGTATGTGTATATATATATATGTGTGTGTGTATATGTGTGTGTGTGTGTATATATATATATATATATATATATATATATATGTATATGTATCTATAGTTGTAGCAGCTATGATATATTTCCCAGTGGACATGGATACTTTTAAAATGATTTTTCCTGAAAAGCCTATGTATTAAACAGTAAATTTGCAGTTTGAATTGCATCACTTCAGAAATCAAATTATTTTTCTTCTCTGATTGTTTTTTTTTTCTTTACCCCAGGGTCCATTTCTTCCTGTGATGCATTTCTCAATGTCTTCCAAAGTAAAGGTCTAAGGCAGGAGGTCATTTGTCCCTGTGCTAGTTCACCAGAAGCTCTCACTGTGGCTATTCGCAGGTACGTGTTGCACCAGTGAAAGTAGCCCCACTGAATGTATATATGTGGTAATTTGAAAAAAAAAAAAGGAAAAAAACTAAATATGAATCTGTGTTATATGATATGTATAGTTTTCAATTTGTTTATGTCCAAGGAAGACATACAAGAAGAAGCTTTAGGGTAATGATTTAACTTCAGAATGCTTTATGGCTCCCATTGCTGTAATTTTATCTAATTTTAAATTATGTAAGTTGAAATGCAAAGGCAAATTCTGTAAATAAAAATGTGAAAATGCCACTGTAAGCATAAAATTAATTAAATGAGAGAATTAAGTGGAATTGCCATTGAGGAAAATCATATTCTTAAGTACTCTGTTTAGAGAGAATTATGACATTCTGCAGGTTGTTTTTGGCTGACAGGCACTTTTCAACTGTTCACAGACTCTGAGTAATCATCTGGAAATGCTCTTTGAGTCTGAGGGATTTGTGATTAGAAATTAAATAGATAAATTCCACTAAAACTGCTAAATGCTACTTAAACTCTTAAGTATTATGTGCATACAATCACAATGTTGTTCAGGTTGAAAATGACCTTTAAGATCATTGAATCCAGCCATTAACCCAGCACTGCAAAGCCTTCACTAAACTGTGTTCCTGAGTGCCACTTCCACACATCTTTTAAATACCCAAGGATGGCATCTCAGCCTCTTCCCTGGGCAGCCTGTTCCAATGCTTCGTGACCCTTTGAGTGAAGAAGTTTTTCCTAATATCCAGTCTAAACCTCCCCTGGCAAAATTGAGGCCATTTCCTCTTATTGTGTCACTTGTTACTGGGGAGAAAAGACCCACCTGGCTACAGCCTCCTTTCAGGGAGTGGTAGGGAGTGATGATAAGGTCCCTTCTGAGCCTCCTTTTCTTCAGGCTGAGCCCCCCAGCACCCTCAGCCTCACATAAGACTTTACTCTAGCAGCAATATCCTGTCAGGAATGCTGTAGCATGCAGTAAATGGTGTAAGTATCCTCTGTTTTGGCAGAGTTTTCCAAAAATTGTACATTGAACAGTAAGCACTTTGTTTTTAAGTTCATGTTTCTGCAGCCAATTATAATTGTTTCACATGTTAGAACATGCAGTATAAACATGTAAAGCACTAAAATAGCATTAAGTAAAATACTTCCTGCCACAATTTCCTAAATACACCGTCCAAGTGAAATTTAACTAGATTTTCAATTAGCTTTTCAACAGAACATTTACAGGAAGAAGGACATGAGGCCAAGAGTGTGGTTGATTTTCAGCCACCTCATTATTAGTTTAGAACATCTCAAAGCAACCCATCAAGGACTTATTCTGTCCAAGTTAGTTGTCTTTCTGTGAACTACAGGATGTCAGAGGCCCTTCATTCAACTCCACCAACCTGTTCTCAGCTTTATACAAAAAGTCCCAAGTGTCTTTCCCTTAGATAGGTTTCCCTGTCATTGGCTGTGCAGGCCACTTTTTGAATGAACTCTTGCCTGTAAGTTCAGGGAGGAAGTGAATGAACAGCAGATTGTTCATTGTTGTTGAACAGAACGGCTTGTGCTGAGCACTGAGCAGGTTTTTAATTTCCTGGGCCAACCCTGGAAAATTTGGCCCAAATCACAGGTTATGAAGTGGGAGAACTTCCTAATGGCATGGCTGATAGGCCCTTTCTAGACACAAACTCTGTGCCTGTAGCTCTCTGAAGCACTAGAAATTCATTTCCAAATTAACTAGCATTGAGACCTTACAAAAAAAATAAAATTTATTAGCACATAGTATTGTGGATAATTCAAAATAAAAAACCAGGCATTTTTATCTTCAGTGCATTGCTGTGTAATTACAGAGCAGTTCTTACTGCAGTGAATGTTACTGAACATGTCTCCTTTTATTTGAACTCTGTTTAATGGTAGGATAATGCTAGATGAACTTGGGAGATGTATTATTTTTCATTTTGTTCAAGCCATCTCCACTGACAGTAAAGTCATTATCATACAAGTTCCAAAGAGTTACTGCTGAAGTATGCATTAAAATGACTCCCTGCAGAGCAGAGATGCAGAGAGCTCCCTGTTAATGCTCTGACTCTTTCAAAATCCATGGTGTACTTTTACTGAACTTATTACGAGGAAGAGCAACAAAACCAGTTCTCAGCTGAAATAGTTTACCAAATGACAGCAAGAGACTAGAAGTACTTCAGCCTCAGCTGAATCACAAAGCCTAATATTCAAAGGAATGCGTCATGCAAATAATTCATGCTATTCCCCTTTGGTTTATTAGTCTGAACCCACTTGCTTAAGGGAATGCAAAAGGGAGTGTTTAAGGACTGAGTTTTCCCCCTTTTAAATGGCTGGCAAAAAGCCGTGGTCAAATAGATATCTGTAAGTGGTAGTAGGAGCTTCTCTCAAAATGCTTTGTGTGATGAGTAGTGCAAGAAAATGGATGTGATGAAAGTCCAGATGGCCTCTACTTCTGGAAGGAGACCTTTCTTCTCAGGAGGACAAAATGTGTGTTTTGGGGAGCAGGGTTAAGAGAAAGTTGATCAATAATGTCACTGAAAGTTCTTTTTACATGATGGAGTGTTATTTATCACAGGTGCTTGTTTACTAGTGCCATTTGTTATGCTCTAATGCATTTTCAAGTGTGCTCACATCCTTCTTTGTTGACAATGTCACTTGAGAAATATGGCTCGTAAAACCTATTAATTGAAATTTATAGAGCCCATAAGGACAAGGCTTACATGAGCAGGACTGGCTGAGGCCCATCTAGTATTTCAAGCACAGTAGAGGAGAAATGTCACATCAAAGGACATTATCTGTTTAAAAATAGTTGTGTTGTAATGGAGCATGTGGGGAAAATGCACAATTGTGAGCTAAATATTGGCTGTTTTATCTGTCCTGAAAAGAGCTGGAGTCTGCTCTTCATGGATGCATAGTCTGAACTCAGAACCACGTCACCTTCCAGTTTTGCATATTAAAATGCAGGACAGTGCAAGAGTCCTTCCAGACATGAGAAGCTCTGACACATTCCCCTGACTTGGTAACTTGCATATGTCAACACTCATTTACTCAAGCCACACTCTCCACAGGTGTAATTGCATCCACTGGTGCAGCAGGTGGCTTTACACTGAAACAAGCTGACAGGCATCTTGTGCTGTTGCTGTGGAATTTTGCAGCATGTAGGCAATGAATCTGAGCAAACTGAGGCGTTACCAAGAGGCTGCATCCACAACATTTTGACCATGACTGATGAAGGTGTAATTTGTTTTCATTTCCGTGTGGTAAATTAGAATAGGAAGAATTCAATTATATGAACTAAAATGAAGATGGTTAATTCCTTGTGTCTTCCACAGATACTTGACAGTAAACCTATGCCAGGTTGCCTCAAAATAGATAACATACAGAATTTATCAAGTTATTTACTGATCAGTTCCAAATATTTGTAGTGCAGTTTCCTTCCACATTGTCTGCACCATCTTTCAGTGTTTTAAAAATTGGGCAAAAGCTCTTTACTTGGGTGGTAAGGCAATTGTTACAAATTTTTTTCTGAAAATTAAATACAGGCTATTTTAGGTAAATGTTGGGGGTTACTTGCATCTCAGCAGCCTCATATATGTGGGTGGGTACTGAATGAGAGAGATAAAAGATGTAATTACTCAGAAATGACTGAAAAACAGGATTTTATCAGGCGTAATAGAGGAGGGGGAAAGGAGAAATTTTAAACTCTTGAAACAGAGGAGTATTTGCAATAGTAGCCCATTAAGCACAAGTAAATGTTTACACCTGATGGTCACTGATGCTCTAACCCATGTTTGTAGGCCAACAGATGACAGCAACCAGCCGCCGGGAAGAGGAGTTCTGTCCATGCATGGTCTCACTTACGGAGTGATTCGAGTGGACTCTGAAGAAAAGCTGTCTGTCCTGACTGTGCAGGATGTTGGCTTAGTGATGCCAGGAGGTGAGAAACTTCCTTTGAAACTTACTATGATCCATCAATTTAAGTAATTGGCAGAATAAAGTTGCAGGTGAGCATATTTTTTGCCAGACTACAACCTTTGGGACTACAAGCTCCTTGAAAACATTTTAGCCTAAAAGCATTACCTTATGAAACTTTGTGGTTTGGAAATCCCAAGATTTCTTGTCTGCATTTACCTCAGTGTCTGTCATGCTTGCACTAGCAGCATGTATTAAATAATCTGCCACCACATCAGAACATCTGCTCCTCATCTGTGAGGTGTTGGTAGAGAAAATAAGAAAGTTAAAATGCTGTGGCTATAAATATCCGTAAGTCCAACCAAGACAAAAGGTTTCAGGAAGGAAAAATTTCATAGCCTATGCTAAGGATCAATAAAATTGCTATCTGAAAGCCTGCAGAATGTTTTTCCAAAGGTCTTGTGCAATCAACCAGTTATTAGATAGAGGAGGTATGTCTGAAAAGTTCATGTTGATAAATTCAAACTGAAATCGGTGCTTCTGAAGAGGAAGATAACACTTTTCATAAGACAGCTACATTTTAAATAAGATGCTATGGCTACTAAAAAGGGCTAATACTGTATTTTTTCATAAGAGAATTCTTGTTATGGATCAAAACAATAAAACATAATGATGCCTCTTACAAAATTTCAGTTTAACATCTTAAAGGAAGATACAATTGCTTGTTGTTTAATAGTTATCATACAAAATATTATAATGGGTGTGCCATCTTACATTTCATATTATGTTCTGATAAATTTTATTCAAGTGCTTCTGTTTATCCTCTGAGTGAAAGGTCATTCAAGATTTTGTACACTTGTACTTAAAAGATGTGTTGATTCCTTTTTGCTTTGTTTTGATCATCATATCCTCTTTGCAACTACAAAATCAACCAATTCTCTACTCCAACTCAGAGACTGTAACTAAAGCAGCATTCCTGATTCTTGCTGAAATGGTTGACATAAAATAGCGCTTCTTTCTCAGACCAGTGCTTTCTAATCCCTCCTGTTTAGCTCCTGCTGTCTCTGCAGGCCTGTAAGACCAGACAGAGAGAGTCTGAGCTCTGATAGATTCTCAGTAAAACAACCAAATTAGTCTGCTGGCATATCTTGATCTGTCATATGGTGTTACTTGCTACTTTCTGAGAGGTGGATTTCCTGGTTGCCTGCCTCCCTGGCTGTATAGTAATTATCAAGGGCTCCATTAGGGTATTTTATTTTGCACTGACTGAAGCAAACCTGGTTTTCAGTATGAAAAGCTGGGAACATAATCACATTTCACAGCAATATTACAGATGAACTGCAGTTTTGGAGAGCCAGGCAAATAGGTATTGTTATCAATATAAAGATTGAGTTTACATAAAGATCCTTGCATTCTTCATATAAATATTATTTATAATAGAAAACCACTTGATAATGATGAACACCATAATATTCAAGAAACTGATTGTTAGGCATTAGTTTACATGTAATTAATTTGTTTATGACATCTCTACCATGATGTCTTTCCCACAGCATTTATGTTATTCTGTGATTCATTTTATAATATTTTTTTAATTCCTTGCTTCTCCCTCTAGCTATAATGTGTTCAGTGAAGCCAGATGGAATTCCTCAGCTCTGTAAAACAGATGAAATAGGAGAACTTTGTGTATGTGCTATTGCAACGGGTACATCATATTATGGGCTCTCGGGTATGACCAAAAATACTTTTGAGGTAAGTTGACAAAAAATGCTATATAAAATCCTTCCTTTTGAATTTTTTCAGTTTCAAGGTTACATTTGACATTGACATTGACAAGTATTGATATTAGCAGTATAAGAATAGAAATTTTAATCAATGCTTGTGGCTTGGGACCTATATTCTAGCCAGATAACCTGCACTGAAACCCATTTCATTGAGTGCAATAGTAGATCTTTATGTGAGTTTAGCTTTGGCTCTGAAGAGCTTTTACTTCAAGATTCAAATAAGATACCAGGAGCTGAAAAAAATCAAAAAGAAAGGAGTAAGAAAGACCAAGTTCAAAAGGTAATATTGTACAAATCTATGTGCAGAATTTGATTATTGCAAATAGTAAGAAAGCTGCTTGGTATTTCTAGAAAGCAGATTTCAACACTTTCACAGCACTTCCAGCATTAAGGTTTGTATTTATACAGAATCCTGAGAGATGTAGTCTTCAAGAGAAGTGTCTAAAGAGCAGAGAAACCTTTTTCTGATTAGTCCCGATCTGCTTCTGTTTGAATTGCCTTAGGTGAAAGCCTGTTGGCTTTGTGGATTCTGTTTTCTGACTCCAATGCACACAGCTGTATTGATAGCTCTGTAGTACCTGCTCACTTGTTGTCATTAACATTTGCTGAAGACACTGTGAAAGGCTGAACACATTAGAGAAAAAGTGAAAAAATTTGATTTCTAAGCTACAACTCTTTTCTCATTTAATATTTATGGCTGAAATTGACACAAATGCATTTCGGTTTTCCTTAAAAAATTCTCTGTTATTACCACTTTTAATAGACTAATGTGACTAATACCTCCTGCAAAATGCAGAACTGAATGTTGTAAACACTGCACATTATATAATGAATGGAGACAAGTGGATATGATTCTACATCCTACTGTTGAAGTCAGGAATCCTACTATGCTATTGTGATCTGAAATTTGTTGATAGCTGATTTTTATGCTGCAAGTACAATTGGCAATACCCAGTGTGAGTGATAATCCTGGATTTTACATACCCCAGGGTAGAAAGGTACTTAAGTTCATTTTGTAGTACTTGCTGTAATTGGGATACCATTCATAATTCATAACTGTCAGCAGTTTAACAGCATATTTAGACTGATTTAGACTTATTCTTAATGCTAAGCAAGTAAACTGCCATTGAGTGAGCAGGACCACTCTATTTTAAAAGTTAAGCATGTTCTTAAGTGTCCTCTCCAAGTGGATTGCTGTTCTGTTTTACTGCATAATTCATGTTGCAGGTATTAGAGTGTCAAAGAGTTTTGTGTTCCTGAAATGAATTATGGCAAAGGATGTATAAGCATTAAATCTGTTCAATAAGAGTCACCCATGGGCATCTGGCAGCAGAATTTGACCTTTCTTTTTATATGAGCCTTCAAGAACACTATATAGTCATGGTCTTCTACTTGCCATTGTCTTTTTGCCTTTAAACTATTTAAGTTTAAAGAAATGACTGCAGGAAAGTGTGGTTGTGTCAAAATGCAGCTCAGAGTAGCTCACATGCCAAAGGGCTAACACTGTGCTAATTAGGATAGAAAAAACCATAGGAATCTGTCTGTGGAAATCACATATGTCTGGTGTTCAGACATTTAGAGAGGTGCTCTATAGAGCTGTATTTTCACTTCCAGGTGTGCTACAGAAGACATTATCACTAGTATTCTGAGCACTTAATTGACCTTAAATAAAAATGTGGTCAGCTGAAAGAGTCAAAAATGTGCTGTACCTTAAAATAGCTCTATAGCACTTCTAGCCTGCCTGTTTCTTACACTGTGCTGGAAATTGGCATGAGGTACACAGCACCTCAAGTTTGCAATCTGCTCAGCTTGGGTTTTTATTTAATACTGTTGGTGTTGATTTGTATATTTATGTTATTTTGTTTATTTTTTTAAGGTCATGCATGACTCACAGTTTCAGTTAGAAAATGTGTATGGTAAACAGAGTGGGATTGAATTTGCTGGAACTCAGGTACACACAAGTGTAGGAGTTTCCTGATGCTCCCTTTATGGTCAGTGAAGGCTAAAGAGCATCACCAGTGACCTATTTACTTGTTTCAGAATAGCCATCCGAGAGAAAATGCCTGAAATACTTTGCAGCCTGATTTCTGTGTACAGAACTGAAGACCTGTGTTTTGGTTTTGCAGGTGTTTCCTATGACCAGTTCTGGTGGCCCCATCACCGAATATCCTTTTATAAGGACTGGACTTCTAGGCTTTATAGGACCAGGTGGACTCGTCTTTGTTATTGGCAAAATGGATGGTTTGATGGTTGTCAGTGGAAGAAGGCATAATGCTGATGACATTGTAGCAACAGCACTGGCCGTGGAACCCATGAAATTTGTCTACAGGGGGAGGTTTGATCCTTTCTTTTCTTATATTATGTAGAAATCTTCATTTTGCTTAGATGAGGTGTAAATAATCCAGATGCTTTCAGAAATCAGTGCCTGATCTGAACTGTAGCTTCCCTCCAGTTCTGTTCGTATTTCCTGAACCAGGAGACAGCTGAGGGAAGCCCAAGGCAATGCTGAGGCAGAATTTGGATACCAAGATCTTGAAACTGTGATTACTGAAATTTCCAGTTGAGCAGCTGGTTAATTCCAAGGGTGTTGGCTCAACAGGAGCCTTTTTGGGTGAACTGAATATTTCCAATATGCCTTATACTGAAGTTTTTGAATGTGAAAGTGGTTCTTAGTGACTTCCCTCCTGTGCTGAAACTGAGCAGGAGACATCTAAAACTTCTGAAGAGCCTCATGCAATAGCATGTACTCACCCTCCCGCACATGTCAGACCTCTCACAAAATGATGCTGCAATTACTGTCTTCTAAGATGGGCTCAAGGAAGGTGCTTATGCTGGCTGTTATATAACATCTTAGCAACAACCTTGGTGTGGCCCAAATGTAGTGTTTTTCTTATTCCAAGAATGTTCACTTCTCAATCCTGCTCTGATATTATGCTTGTATATACATGACTGTAGAACAAGCCTGCTGTTTCGACTCCAGAACTTATCCAAAACTGTTCTTGTAGCTTTTTCCTCATAAATATATTTGTAATTGGCACACTAGGAGTGTAACTAATAAATAAAGAAATCACAGTTGTAGAAGATGAATGCAGAAGACAGGTTTTTCCCTCTGTTCTGGCACTAAATACTCTTCTCTCCTCCTATAGAATAGCAGTGTTTTCCGTGAGCGTGCTGCACGATGAAAGGATAGTTATTGTTGCTGAGCAAAGGCCAGATTCCACAGAAGAAGACAGTTTTCAGTGGATGAGTAGAGTACTCCAGGTAATGCTCTATACAAACATTTGGAAGCTATTTTTTTCTTGCTTTATATCCTTTTTATTGATTTTCCAGACCCCTAAGGTAACTGACATTTGTCTTTCAGTAATTGTGAATCCACCTTCTGTTGCATTTGCTCTTAATGAGCACAAAATGAGATTCTTGTGAGTGACAGTACCTATCTGGGCTGCACACACCGAGAGAGTGATCCTTTTCTTAATTAAAATGCTATAAGAAAACAAGAACAAATTGAAGTAAATAATAGCAATGAGAGAGTAGCATATGGTTTATAAGGATATAGTCATTCATTACTTTGAAAGGGGAATGAATGGATGAATGAATGAATTATATACTCTTATTGTCAAAAGCTACCAGAGTCTCTTACTAAACAGTTATAAGCATAGATAGAGAGTTGGCCTCATCCAGATTTATTTTTTTTAACAAGTGAGAGAGAATTATTTGTTTCTGGTGTACCATGTTGATAGCTAAAATAAACTGAATGAAACTCAGCCAAAAAATCACAATTTCCCTCCACTGAAATGAAGAAAGTGATTGATTAGCTCAGAACTAGGTATCTACAGTGAGTTTATCTTCTCAGAGGGACACCTGTTGCAAAGAATCCCATTCCAGCAGTCTGGCAATATCAATACTATACTGATTTATTTTTTCACCTCTAATGTCCACACACAAAAATATTAGATATTTTAGATAGGGTGATCCATCTCAGTGGTTAAGCCAATTCAGACTCAAAAGCAATAGATTTAATGGAGATGTAGTCAGATCAGTCAGTCTGTTTATTGCTGCCTTGTAAAGCACTCTCAACTCTGTCTACAGTTGGTCTCCTGTTCCTTCTGCTTCCCTTTCCTACTTTCCTTTCTGTCCTTCTGCTAGGACTCTTCTCAATAAATATATTGCAGATATATTTTTTGTTTTACCTAAGAGCCAAAGAAAAAGATCCCACACAATTCAGAGGTGTTTTTATTCATCATTGCATTTTATTGAATAAGAAATGGAATCTATCTACTGTATCATTTAAGAAACTGAACAAATAAGCTTTCATCCACCTCAAGACAGGCTTATCTGCTCTCTTGATTCAAAAGAAAGCTACATTTCATACAGTTAGAGGCATCTCATATTCACAGTGTTCTAAATTAATACCAAGAAAAGATAGAACCTCTAGCTTGCCATCACACAGAAAGGCTTTGAAACACCCAGTAGCATCTGGGGCAACTGTTGTAGAAGAAGAGGCTTTGGATTGCCCACACTTTTGTCAAGGCTCCTAAAAGGGTTGCAACTCTGGATATAACACTTGCCCTGTTTTGTCAGTGGAGCATCTTTGTGACTTTTACAGAACTAATATCTTTCACAATCATAACCAGCAGAGTTCTGCTCTGAAAACTGCAGGAATCCTGTGTCCCAATACTCCTGCCAAGAGTCAGCCCTGTTATTCCGAGTCTGATCAAGTCCTAGCAGTGTCTGAGAATAGTAGGCCATGTATCAAAGTACACACGTGTGGCTGCTTTCATCATCCACATGTGGAGCCTGCAACTCTGTTGTGCACTGCTATGTGAACAAGAAGTTTCTGTTTCCACCACAGCTGAGAGCAGAGATGAAGGACAGAAGCCAGGAACATGTGGGATACTTTGTGCCTCTTCCCAATAAGAGTTTTAATGACAGATGTTGGGAAGTGGTAACCAGCTGTATCTGAATCATCTGCTAGTGAGGCACAAAATAACACTATTACAGCCTGTGTCCTGACTCTCAGTGAAATCCATGATACAATATCAAATTGTACTTGATTTTAATGCTATTTGTGAGCTGTCTGACACCCTGTGAGTGCTGCCCTGTGCTAGCCCTGCCCTGCACTGCCTGCTTCTGCTGTGCCTTGCTGTCTCTTCCCTGCAGCTGAGCTGGATTGATTTGCAGAACCAGTTTTCCTGTTGGTTGGCACATATTCTGACTCTCCTGACCCATCCTGTCCCTTGGCAGGAAGCTGAAGGGTGGTGGAGCTGCTGTACCTGTGGGACTGTGCTGGACTGCATCTGTGGGCTTCAGCAGAAGGATGGTTGGGAGGGAGTGGTCAGGGTCTGGGGTTGAAGTTTCTTGAGAGTAGAAGGATGAAGATCCTAGATCAGCCAGCAGTTCAGTCAGATCCTAGATATTCATCTTCTGCAGACTGTTCTGACCCTTCAGGCTGGGTTGTGGTCCTTGTATGGCAGACTGGATGTCAGTTTTACCATCACCAGGACTTGACAGGACTAGGTAAAGCCAGGAGATCTACTGCAGCACTGGAGAGTGTTTACCCAGAGAATTGTGTCAGAACAAGATGTTTTCTCAGCTCAAACAACACTGCAGTCTGGACTCTCTGCAAGTTTGGGTATTTCTTGTCCATTTTCACAATGAAAGAGAGGAACAGAGATTTCAGATACTGTTTGATTCTGTCTGGACAGAGTCATTTCAAAAACCAAGCCATCTCATCAAGAGACATAAATGCCAGCAATATTAAAATTGACTGGTACTCTTCTGCCTCAGAATTTTAAGGCTCAGTTCAGCAGCTGTCATCCTGGTGACAATGTCATTCCCTGCTTCAGAAATGTGCCAAACTCAAAGGTGTGAAAGGTGTCAGATTTGAATGACACATGGTATTTTTGTGGCATTGTATAGCAGATGTATCTCTTAGAGAGAGTTCAGAAGTTTCTGGGGAATCATTGCATACACCCCTCATCCTACCACAGCCGGGTATTGTTTTCCATTCACCACCCGTAGGAGCCACAGAGTTTTATGTTTGAGTAAAAGTGGTTACTTGCCCTGTGATGCTTCTCCTTCAAGCTGATGTCAGGTGAGGATTCCATGATTTATCACTGCTTTTCAGAACCTACAAATAACATTATGATTAGTAGGTTATGATGTTTTCTGACAGAAACATGAGACATTGTGTGTTGGCTGCCATAAATATTTCACTATTGCTGATCTTTTGGGTGGTGTCTGTAGACCAGCAGCAAGGCCTCCCAATTCTGCTGTGAGAGCTACTACTGCTGAAACTCCAATATTTTTAAATGAATTTTATTATTCTTTCTTATGAGATTTTACAGTCAAATAAATAAGAAATGAAGCAAACAGAAGCCAAAAGAAAAGCATTGCTTAATCTGTAAAAGTAATCAGTAATTTATTGGTCTACACCTTCGTACATCATAACTGTAAGTGATTATTTGATTCCCAGAGCATAGATTGCATCTTCAAGGCAGCACACATCAGTTCACTTTTCTCACACTTTAAAATTAAAAAGAAAAATAAGTAAATTATATTTTTTAACATTTAACTACGCATTACAGATGCACTTTGTAACTTGTTTCTCAGTTTGCATAAATGTCTGAAGTTGGTTTTCTAGCACACTGAAGTTGGTTTTCTAACACGCTGCAATTTCTGTTATAATTATAAGGAAAATAAATCCTTTAAATCTGTGGGGAATTAAAATCTATGTGCATGGATATTCATGTTTGACTCAATAAATTACATAGATATTCTACGCTACAGTTTTCTTGAAAATGTTGCAGTTTAATGAACATTTTGGGCAATGAACATGGTTGCTATACAATCCAAAGATACTTCTTTTTCAGGTTTTTGTCCAACATTTTTTTCAAGTGGGGAGTTTCATAGTTTTCCCTTACATATTTTCCATTCCTGCCTGAAAATCTTTTACACTGTGGTCAGGGAATGATCACATGTAATGTATCATGTAAACTTTACCTTACAAAAAAACTAAAAAGGTTCACAAGCAACATACATCATTAGGTATAAGGGTTATTTGAAATTTTGCCTTGCTCGGAAAGATGGATATTAAGTTGATAGGAATCCTTTGAACTTTATCTCTGAGAAGTGCACAGCTTAAAAGCAATTTCATACTGTCTGACAGCCCATCTTTGTAAAAAAATCTTCAGGATATCTGCTACTAATATGTGCTTAACAAGGTAGCATTTCCTAATAGATTTGTGTGCATTCATCACCAGGTTTTTGGTTGCTTTTTTATCTGTTGGAATGAGTGTAACAACATTTCAGTCCACCTGCTCCCAGTGAAAAGAACCTCCTTATCACTGACATAGCTGAAGTGTCTTTCCATTGCCAGTTAATTATTAGGGCTGTTTTATGCAGTAATTCAGAACAACATGTGCCTATTAGAATGATGAAAAATTAGCTTTTCATTAAAATCGACTTCCTGTGTGATTTTTTAGGCAATTGACAGCATTCATCAAGTGGGAGTCTACTGCCTAGCACTTGTCCCAGCAAACACGCTTCCCAAGACACCACTGGGAGGGATTCACCTGTCAGAAACCAAACAGCTCTTCCTGGAAGGATCTCTGCATCCTTGTAACGTGCTGATGTGTCCCCACACCTGCGTTACAAACCTGCCTAAACCAAGGCAAAAGCAACCAGGTAAGAGGAGTGAGGGCCAAGGGACTGTGACTTCATGCTGTGTGCTTATGGTACTGTAAGGGAGCAAAATCTAGTGATTGCTGATACAGGTGAGAATCAGCATCATCAGCTGTCCTCTTCAATGTTCTGTGTGTGTCAAGGACATCATTGGTGTTGCCAGAAGCTAGAAACACCTTCACAGAGAATGCAAGGAAAAATGCTAATTCAGTAAAAGATGACATTTTTATCACTCTGCAAGGCACTGCTGAGACCACATCTGGAGTTCTTCGTAAATTCCTCTTCAGTTATGTTTAAAGAGGATGGAGACTAAACCAGAGAAAGATAAAATCTTAGCTTATTTTGAAGGCTGAGTGTGTAAACTAGAAACAGAGAGGGAAGGGGCTGTTGACACTAAATAACAGTGTTGGAAGAACAAATACCTAAAAACTGTTCATGAATAGTTAAACCAAAGAATGAATGGTTTAATCCCTCACATGCATAGGGAGATTTTGCATTACTTTAACAGCAGGTATGTTAGAGGGAAAACCCTAACTAGTTTTAAGATGGTTCTTCAGAAGTTCTGCCTCTTCATGAAGAATGTTGGATAAAATGGTACAGCAAGGCACTGTCTCAAGAGACCAAGAAAGCCCTTGTAGTCTGCTGTAGTCAGTCACTGGTTATTTGTGCCCAATTACAAGTAAATTTTAACAAATTTTTACCTTTAAACCAATTGCAGGTTTTAGTACTCAGATTTATTTCAAGGAGTTCTGGATGTGTAGCCTCAGGTTTAAGACTTGAATTCAGCTACATAAGACTAAGTGTTGGTTATTTTCCACTTTGAAAAACATCCTGGAATTAGAAGTGGGTTTGCTCTCTGGATCTTGAATATGGAGACTACCTCTCATGAATTCAGTGCAAGTTTGCCTAAACCATCATTGTCTTTTAAAACCTTTGGACAAATGTTTCAGAATCAAAACCATAATCTCAATTTGTGGATATTGGGAATGCCAGAAGTCAACAGTGACTTGCACTAATCTAATCAAAACCATGAGGCCTTTTCCTGGAACTCTCACATTGGTATTTCCTTGTTGCTGCATCACAAAATAATTGCTGAATTAGAATCACTGGAGATCATTACAAGTATGTTATGTATACACTAAATATTACTAGGGTAAAAGTAATGCCAGGGACACAAAAACAAAACTGGTAGTATAACATTCTCCTATTTTGTGTTGTTGTGACATACTCAGAGGGTATTGCTTTTATAATTTTAAAGCAGAGTAGTCTGTAGGTGCTTTTGATTGTACATTATCTGGTTACTTACACCACAAACAATCACTTGGACATCATAGGCATGAAGTAGAGCCTGGTATAAATTGCAGTTTATCAGTAATCCATGCTGGAGAAGCAGAAAACAAATGCCAACATGAGCTTAAATGCGATCTGTGAGACAGGTATTGTCTCCTAATGGCAGCAACAAAACATCTGTGAAATCCAACTCATGGAGCAGTGTCAGCCATGACATCTTCTTTTCTTCTGAAGTTACTTCACTCTCAATCTTATTCTAGAGGGCTTGCATATATTTTATCATATGCACCATCTGCCCCCCTAAATTTTCCAGATTCATCATATCAAGGTAGACAAGATATGTCTCTGGCTGTGGAGAGCCCATGCTAAAGGAGAGCTGTTTTGAGAGGATGAATTGAGTTCTATGTATCTTCCAATCACTTCTGGTCCATAACCAAACTTTGTGTCAACAGAGATGTGCTCAAGGTTTGGTTCTGTGGGCTGCAGTGAGAAAAACATCATGTATTGCGAAAGAAATCCCATGAATTATCATCCATAAGCAAAGGATTTTTATTGTGCTTGGTGGATTTATGCTTTATTCTAGAAATTGGCCCTGCCTCTGTGATGGTGGGGAACTTGGTCTCTGGAAAAAGGATTGCACAGGCCAGTGGTAGAGATTTGGGGCAAATAGAAGATAATGACCAGGCCAGAAAGGTAAGCTAAACTTTCCTGTTACATATAGTTAACTTCATCCAAACATACAGTTAACATCATATAGTTGACATCAGGACACTTAGCAGTTCACAGATATGATGGTTGATGATGATTATTGTTGTCATTATTACTACCACCAATTTTTTGATGGCTTCTTTTTAATTAATGCATATATTTAATATTTCAGAACCTCATTTACAGATAAATATTAAGTAGATGTGAGGAGAAGTCACCACATTTCATTTTTATGGATTTTTGAAATAAGTTTTCATGGGGCTTCTGCCAGAAATCACCCTCTATTACATAATTTTCACCATCTCAAGTGGAATCCAGAGAATTTTGTTTACATATGAGGTCCTGACCTTATTTGTTGTTATTTTAATCCTGGAAAATTAAGTTGAAATTCAGCTCTTTTGGGGGCTTATGTGAGTAATTAAATTAGTAAATTCTAAGCTGTGTATGTACCTATGTATTTATAGAAAGAAAAAGAGAGGAAGCTAAAGAATTAAATAGTGCTTAAATTCAGAGGGTTCAGTAAGTAGTGTTTTGTTGCTTTGGAAGTATATGCAGTGATATATCATAATCCCAGCAGTGGCTTCGCTTCCAGAGAGGTGACTGCTACCGTTCAAAAGCACTTTTCTATAAATGTGTGATGACAAGAAGATTAATTCCTGTTTAGTGCTTCTGGGTACTGTGTCCTGGATTTGAAAGCCAAGAAGTTGTTTGGTGTCGTGACTGTCACTCTGCTTTATTGCAGTTCCTGTTCCTGTCGGAAGTGTTGCAGTGGAGAGCTCAGACCACCCCCGACCATGTGCTCTACACCCTGCTCAACTGCAGGGTAAGAAGCTCAGGCCATAGCTCCAACAGGCTTGGAAAAGACTCACTGGGATTTCAGCAGCACCTGCTTGTGCTGTGGCTGGATGTGACCTTTCTCTTCCTATTTCCACTAATACTCAGCTGTTATATTTAATGTTCACTGATGCAGAAAGGAAAAGAGAATAATCATTGTCAGTTGTCAAGATATAGATTGTTTTTTTTTATCAGACAGTGTGCCTTACACATTTCTCATTTCTTTTTCCACCACATATATGTTGTGTGTGAGCTGACACTGCAAATCTGTTTCAATACTGTTGAATCTGTTTCAAATCTGCCCCTGTGTTGAATAACTGTTTAATACTGCTCACCATCCTGATTTCCAATTTGAAAAGCACAGGCTTGGCAAAACCAAAGCATTTTCCCTAAATAACACAATGACTGTTGTTTTTGAGATTGGACCATCTGGGGGAGGTGTGAGAATGAGGAAAGAAGGTGAAAAGAAGAAAATGTATGTCCAGAATACAATCAAGTCTGCAGAAGATCAGTAATAAATCTCTCTGCATAACCTCCATGAGGTGCCAGCCTGGCACAGCATTTCATTGCTTACTGAAAATGAGTTAATGAATGTGACAGGTACAGAACTTGGCTTTGCTAAGAGCAAAACTTCCTTGTTTTCTGTAGTGTAACTTCTTTACATCCTGGATGATTACAGATGACAAACCAATAAATCTCAAGACCACAGAGAGAATTAAAGTCTGATTTCAAAGCATTCCATCACAGTACATCTACACATATCTGTCAGATCTGGGAAACATACATAGTGTGTGAGGGTGTTCAGGAGAGGGGAGGCCTGGAATAGTGCTGTTCCCCTGGAGTGCTAGCTGATGTTGTCTCAGCCTATGTGGTCTTTATGCAACTTGAATGGGTTCTTAAACCTCCAGTAATTTGTGAACCTCTGTGAAATCACCACTTACAGTATTTACAGAATGTCCTTCTCCATTTTACAGTGCTGGTACAAAGTTCAGTTTGAAGCTACCAGTAAGTAATTAAATAATTTTTTAAAAAATTCAGATTAATAGCTCATATTTGTGAATATGTGAAACCTGCCAGATAAATAGTGAAGTAATTATGTATTTTTTTAGTGGCAAAGTATAAATCTTGAGAGGCAATGCTGTTTATAATTTCAATATTACATCATTAAAGAACCGCATTGCTGTGTCCTCTAAGTCAGGAGCAAAGATGCTGTGAGGAAGAGTTGATGTGTACTATCCCATCTCTTCCACACATGGCTGTTGCTTTTGGGTTTTAAATAAAGCCAAACTTCCTGTGGTGGCAGAAGGGTTCAAACAGTGGGAAGTAAGGACACAACGTGCAAAACAAGGATTAACAAAACAAATTCCCATTCCATAGAAGTGAAGAGTAGCTGGATTTTAAAATACAGTTTCTCTGTTACTCTCAGTGAAGAGTATCTCATCATATGAGATTTGTTTGAGAGCTGTAATGCTTTTTGGAGAGGAATTAATATTTTATGGAAAGGGATGACACATTTGGTGGAGTTTGCCCTAGGCAAGTTTTATTGCCTATCTTGAATTTTAGTTCTGATTTGTACTTTTCCTATTTTGTCTTCCTTGGACATTGTCTGTACACTTTGTTCTAAAATAGTCAGGCATCCTGCAGTAGATGACTAATGAAAGTCCACTGAGATTAGTGTTTTCCTGTAACCCAAACTTTGAGAATTTGAAATATTTCAAAATTAGTGCAATACATTGTTTTTAGTGTGTGTCACGAAGGATTGCAACACCTTTACATTTCAGGATTGCTCACTGAAGGCCCAAAGGGAGTAGTTGCCTGATGCTTGCAACTGATTCTTGTCCAACAACTGGATTCTCCTTCCCTACACTTCATATAAACAATGACTTCCCACTGGTTCACAGGCAGCAAATGCCAGAAGTCTTAAATGTAAACAAGCTCTGCACAAATTCACTTGATTTACAGCAATTCCCTATCTGTCATTAGGACCCATGCTTCTGATGTGTGTGGGGATATAAAGGGTCCTTCTTCTCATAACCATGGAAACAGGCAGTTTCTTGAAAGAAGAAATGGAGAGTTTAAGTACATTCTCCTGACAGGTCTGCAGTGGCAGGTCAGCCAGACCTCATATTGCTTTGGCATACTCAGGGCTGGACAGATGGAAGTCATCTCTGGTCCAGCATCCACAGAGTTGCATATGTCTTTAGAGAAAGCTTTCTTAGTGAAATGGTCTCCACATTGATCAGAAGATTGATTAAAACTGTCTGAAGTGCAATTCAGTAAATGTGGTTGCTGAGGATGATGAAGAGAAATGCTGAGCCCTGGCCTAGTCCATTTTATTTCCAGTTGGATTGTGTTCTTCATTGCAGTTTGTAATGAAGTCTGTGAACGCCAGGTGATCCTGGTAATGTGGCACTGCTTGCAGTGCTTGCCCTTTGGCAAACTTCTCCCTCCTCCCTGAAGCCTGGTCAGTAAATACTGCAGTGGTGTGTGGGGTGGTGGTAGATAGAAACCAGCATCAGAATAAATGCTTATTATCTCTTGCCTTGTTAAAATAGAGTGTAAAGAACATTTCTTTAAAACAGCAGACCTTCTTGCTTTCTCTCTTAATGAGGATAGTGATGCAATACATTTTTATTGTATTACATTGTATTTTTGATGCACTGTTCTATTTTAGTGTGTGTCTTTATGTGTTCTTTAGTATATGTTTATTTACATATTTTTACATATTCTTACCTTTTCCCCCCCTATTTTTTCAGAAACACTTTTTTGTAAGTGAACTTAGTGCTTGTGATAGGTGCCAGGTGTGTCACAGCTGTACTGGAGACTAAATTTCTCTTTTTCCACAGAACAAGTACACAAGCCTGTATACTACCCTTCCCATACTGCTCTGTCCCTTTCTCCCAGCTCACACTTGGCCTGACCCAGCTCTAGGTGCAACCAGTCTGTCCTGTACATTCATTTTTAGACTTCTGAGGTGTCTGCCTGCCATGGTAGTGATTTTTGTGATACAGATGTATATATTTTTCTAAATGTGTACTTGTGTGTGTGCATATATGTACACATATTTATATTTAGGAAGTGCAAGAACTGTAGCACTCATTCAATTTCCAACACTGGGACTGTTTGATAATTTTAGGTTTGCACTACTTGAAATGCTTCAAAAATGCCAAGCTCATGCTGACCAGAGTTATTCAAATTTAACAAATGCCTCTCTTCTCTCTTTCATTTATATGCAATATAAGTGCTTATCTTTTGTTCCAGACTAATTCTTTTTTCCATTGCAAAGTATTGTTTTCTCCTGTGTCTTTTGTTTTTAAAGTATTTCTGCTGGGCCTTTTGGCTCCACTCCAGCGTGCAGACAACAAAATGCAATTTTCAGAATTGCTCTCCACAGATGCTCCAGTTTGGTACAGAGACCATAAAGGCACTTCCCTGGCTGCAGCAGGAACGCTGCCTGTGTAGCAAGGGAAGAACAGGTTTTGTGGGCAGGATATTAGCACACTGCTGTACTGCCTTGGTGGGGGCAGAAACACTGCTGAGGGCAGAAGACACAGAGAAAGGAATAGAGAACATTCTTCTACTTTAGAAACATCTTTTTTCATTCCCACCACAGTTTGGCCTAAGGCTGAATCTTTCCATATTTTAAGTTGATTGCATGGCATATTGTGACTGCCCTTCATTCTGCAACTTCTAAGGTGAGGAGGAAAATAGAGTTTCAGCACATCACATTATCTCCTGTGACATTTATCTTTCTTCCTGTGCAGGGAACAATAGCCAACTCACTGACATGTGTCCAGCTGCATAAACGAGCTGAGAAGATAGCTGTCATGCTGATGGAGAGGGGACATTTACAGGATGGAGACCACGTGGCTTTGGTTTACCCACCAGGTAAGGAATTGCTGTAGCAGTGCCTTGGGACTCCTGGAAGTTCATCAAGGTCCTTCTGAGCAGTGCTGCATCAGGGCTGTTACCATGTACACCTCATTAATTGTCAAAACACAAGATGTTTGCCTCATTCAAATTAAAATTCCTTTGAATTTGGTCAAATGTATTGAAAAGAAACTCTCTTTCTGCATGTACACAGATTTTATTTCTTTGGGTTCAGATTAAGACTAACCTGTATTTTTAAAACCTGTATCTCTTACAAGTAGTCAAATTTAATTACTGGGGGTTTTTTGCTGGATACAGACTATTTTATGAGCATGCAGTTCCATCTGCTAAGTGTTCTTGATGACCTGTTCAGTTCCCTTTTGGAAGTGCTGCATTTCACAAGGGTAAAGCAACAATAATGAGGAAGTAATACATGGGGGCTTTTTATAGTAGAAATTTGATAAACAGCAAATTATTAAGAAATATAGAATCATCATTAAAATTGTCTCTATAGATTCTTAATCTAGATAGCTCTCTTGGTTTGGATTTTCGTCCTTTTGCATCAGGGCTTTTGTGTTAACTGGTAACACATTAGACATTTGCTTGAAATTATTTCTGATCTGGTGCTGCTCTTTTATCTTTAACATTTCTTGTGTGTTAGTGAAATAAACAGTCCGATTTAAGGTCTGAAATGTGGTAAGTTTGTAAGGACTGCAAGACACCCGTTCTGTCTTTGTAGTTATAGGAGCAGTTTTGCAATGGTTAATATGGCAAAACCTTTTCCACAGAAGAAGACTAGTACTTTAAACTTAAATGTTTGTTTTCTGCATTTCACTTCCCATGAATGAAGAATCTTATTGAAGGAACAATAACCTACCAGTACTGCAAATCCTTTTCCACTGAAAGAATAAACCAGCCCCCACTGTCATCTTATCACAGCCTGTGCACAGCACCAGGGAGGTGATGGACAGCAGTATTCAAGGGATCTTGTCACTGTTGCCTGTTCAGCCTCCTTAGGTAGCCTGAAGGGTGCTGTCCATTGTCCATCACCTGTAGTCAATATTTATATGGCACAGCACCTAATTTTATGCTAGAAGCAGGATTTCAAAATCGTTGCTCCCTTTTTTACTGTAAAATTTGAGGTCCATATATCAAGGCTTCCTATGTGAGGTTAAAAATGGCAAGAGAAAGACAGTATTTTGTGAAACATCCAGATGTTCTTTCTGCAGCTGGTAGGACCAAGCATCATCCTACCTTATCCTTTTTCTGGGACATCCCTCTTCTTGTACACTCTATAAATGTACATTTAGGAAGATAATTAATCTGTAGAAATCAGTCTTTTTTACAGGTTACTTCCTGAGCAACAAGATGGAGTTCTCCTAAATGTTGATATCTGGCTGCAGTTTTGTGTGTCGCCTGTGGTTTTTCATGCTCAGAACGGTGTGGTTGGGAGGAATTAGTGAAGCTGAACAAATACTGACAAGGGGCTGAAAAAGAAGTCTGTTAAAGGCCTTAGTCACTCATTTAACCTTCTGGGTTCAGTTCCAAGTAATATTTATGCTGACATAGGAGTCTGTGATTAAACAATTTGATTTTCAGGGGAGGATTTCTGCTTTGTTCTCCATGCAGGGATAGACCTGATTGCTGCGTTTTACGGATGCCTGTACGCAGGCTGTGTGCCAATAACAGTGCGACCTCCACACCCCCAGAACATTGCCACCACGTTACCCACAGTGAAGATGATTGTGGAGGTAAGCAGACGCCTCAGATTGCACCAGTAGATGAAATGGGTGATGGATTTGTGTCTTTAGGAGCAGTAACTTGAGTGAGGGGTGGTTGGGTTGAAGTTTTATTCCTTCCCAGGACTCAGGACTTCAGTGTGTTTCAAAATCAACACTGCTTGGCAATATTCAACCTGCTCACTTGAGCTGTCACATTCTGCCCTAGTTGCATGACTCCTTTCAAGAAATATATTTAAAGTGCCTCTTTATATTTAGCTGTATGCCAAGAGGGGTAGGATTCCTTACAGGCAGAGCCACACTGACTGCTGAGAAAAACCTCAGTGGGAAGTTTGTCCTCACCTGATGGCGTGCTCACTGCTGAATGTGCAATTGTTCTGCATTTAAAACAATTTCAAAGTTTTGCTGGGAAGATGTTGGTCGGTCTTTTGTTTCATCCAGGAAAGTGTTTCTCAGACTTTTTCATTCAGTGCTTTCTTTTGATATTTTGGCTTTATCTAACAATGTTTAACCTCTGTTGCACATAAATAACTGCAATGTGCTTGTTACTGAGGAAAATAAAAATGGTTGAAATTAGATAGCCAGAAATCTGGCAGTTTCTGATTTATTGATTGGAATTCTGAAGAAACAAGTTGAAACAAATGTGTTTTTACCATTGATAATTCATTTTTATGTTTGCAGTTAACAAGTAGTAGAGATAGTTGTAATTTTTGACTATCCTCATGGCATCAGATGCCACAAAGGCATCAGAAGAGGTATGAGAAACTGTCCTATTATTTTCAGGATTCTTGTTATTTAATATTTTGGCACTTGGCATTTTTAAGCATCAATTGATAACATACAGAAGTGATGTAAAATGTGGTTTTTTTCTTTATCTTTTGATGTTTAGTAGCTAAACTAGATGTTTGATCTCATGATAAAAAACTGACAAATCTAAGATGACTTGTATTCATTGTCACTTCAATAGACTAACTTTAGATAAAGTGTTGACATTTATTAGCCATATTAATGTCAGTTTGACTTATAACCTCTCAGCTCTGTTTTACACAAGAATTTTTCTCAATTCTGAGATTAATGACCTTGTAGAAAACAAAATATTACTGCAGTTCATTCATTGCCAATGCAGTCACACAAATTTCTTGATGTGTTGGGGTCAGCACCTGCTGTAAGATGTTGAATATCTGCACAGCACCTTTTGAAGTCAGTAAAAATAACTTCTGAGTAAAATTTGGCCTGCATAATTGTGTTTTTGTGATGTGTTGTAAAATATTACTCAGTTGAGCCCCATCTTGAGTGGTTCCTACCCTGTAGCTAAACTGTGTTCTTTCTCCTTTCCACCATCCTTGTGTCTTTACCTCTGATGTGGAATTCTCCAGGCATGGATATTCTGTATTTTAATGAACCTTCTGATCATCCAGGTTATGTAATTCCTAAGGAGGCTGGGAACCATCAACTCTTGAAATTCCTTTTATTTATTGTTTAGTGTGCCAAATCAAGATTTTCATGGATTAAAATTAGTGATGTAAGAATTAATTTGCCTTGACAGGAAGTGAAAATGGACTAAGGGCTGCTGCAGTGGCTTTGTTTGTATTCACTTTTAGCTTGAAGCATTTAAACCTTCTATACAGGGCAGTCATGGGATTAGAGTGTCAAGAGATAAAAGGTTGGCTCAGTGATGTGAGCTCCAAATTTCAAAAATGTCGGAATTTCTGGTGTTCTAAAAAGTTGGCTTCCATGAGATCATTGTCAATAGAAGCTGTTGTCTTCTGCTCAGTGGTAAAATTTAGTGTACACATGATTACTGATTTTATTAGTTTAAACACAGGAAATTTAGTGTGCAATGAAATATTTAATTTTCTTTCCTTAAGGGAAAAAATAGTCTTAGCAGCATTTGCATGGATTTTCAAAGTTTGGGGAAAAGAATAAAAATGTTACCTTTTCTGTTTTTCCTGTGTTTTATCTTCAGTGATTTCCATGCTCATATGCATGTTTGTCTGAATTCCCTAAGCATATTATTTTTTATTCCTAAGAAGTAGTCTTATTAAATAAGAAATATTCTTGTAGTTGATACCTATGAACTTCTAAAAATAGGAAAACTAAAAGGAGAATTCAGCATGTATCATCTAAAGTTTGGTGCAGATGGTATTTGCTGTAAGCTCACCATTTCATTTCTTAGTGCCACTTGTACAATATCTGTTCTAGAGATACTTTTGCCAATATCAGAAGTGCTCCCAGTGGTTTATCACTAGCACAGGCCCTGGAAATACATGGCTACCATAAAATTGACTTAAGATAATAAAATTATTAATATAAAATGTCAGACTAGATATTGGTTGACCTTAAAATATTGTTTATGAACCAAGATACATTATTGTCACATAGGAAGTCTTTTGGACACAGTCTTCTTTACTGGCCCTTTGGGGTGAGAGCTGATACAGTGTGTAGGAAAGGTCACATTCTCACTATTAAGGCACCTTTATTTCATTGCAATGCTCTTCTCAAATTGCAGTTTTCATGTAAGTTGTAAAACTCACGTGACTTTGTCATCTTTGTGAGCTGCAATTTTTTAAGCATCTTCCCACCTGCCAATCAGAAAACATAGAGTTGATATACCTGTGTTCTGTTCTGGCAGAAGATAAGTCACTGTCTTGCCCATTTTCATGGGAGAGTTAATTAGCATACCATTAGCATGTTTTTATTTCTTTCTTGAATTTCCAGGTGAGCCGCTCTGCCTGCTTAATGACTACGCAATTGATATGTAAATTGTTACGGTCGCGAGAGGCGGCGGCAGCAGTGGATATCAGGACATGGCCTCCAGTCCTAGACACAGGTGAGTGCTGGGGCCTGGGGACCTCTGTCTCTTTAGTCACTGTGCTTGTCAGTGACATACACACGTTTTCTGTCTCTGTCTCCACCAGACGATTTGCCAAAGAAGCGGCCTGCACAGATCTACAAACCTTCTAACCCTGAAACACTTGCTTACCTTGACTTCAGTGTCTCCACCACTGGCATGCTGGCAGGGGTAAAGGTAGGGACTTCTTCTTCAAGCTTTCCTTCTTGCTGTCCTGCCTGGCTGGCAGGTGGTTGCTCCTAATTTGTGACTCCTCATGATCTTTGGAAGCAGGAATTGAGGTTCTTCCTCCCTTGCAGACATTGTTTGAATCCAATGACATTAAATTAGTTTTCTACTTGCTACAGAATTGTGTGTGGTGGTTTATCCCCTCTCCTCCTCAGACTAAAAGTTTCATTCCATTACTCCTGTGCATACCAGTTTTTCTGCCTGAAACATTTTTCAGCTTAGGCATCTGTTATTTCCATTTTATGAGGGAAATGTCATCCTTTTCCTTTTCCTTCTTGTTCCAGTGCCCATTCATTGCTCGCTTCCTATGGCAGCTCAGGTACTGGCCATTGGTTTTCAATATTCTCTTCTTGCAATTAAGGCACCTGATGATTTCTTTGGTATATTCACCCAGTATAGTACTAGAGTAAACGGCAAAAACTCATTAATAGATTTGTTTGCTAAGATCAGGCATCTTGAGCTCTTGAAATCTATGCCATTTTCTCCAGCCCTCTAGCCACAATTCATCTGTTTTACCTAACTTATGTATCCCACTACTGGTTTCACCAAGACACAGTAAAATCACTCTGTTATCCTTACCTGTTTCTTCCTTACTCTTACATGTTGCATATCCAAGGATTATCATTACTTTAACAATCTCTGCTGATGTATCACACATGGAGCCTATGCTGCATTCCTCATACTCTTTAATATCACCCATCTATTTGCAGAAACTGTCAGCATAATTTATAAACAAAGAAAGCATTATTTGCCCAGTTTTTGGATGAGGAGATGGAAGCACAGAGCTGTTGAGGCTGACTGATTGTTAAATCGTTGACCTGGCTCATGGTCATATATTGGACACTCCTGCAACATTCAGTCCATCTAACTTTGAGTAGCTACAATGCCTACAGATGTGGAATAGTCATTGGGCTCCTCAGAGCCAGCAGAGAAAAGCAGGGACTTTTAGGGTGTCATTTATCTGACTTATCTAAAATATCTATTTTTTTAAAGGAGTAAATGTCACATAAGTCTTCATTTCTGCTAGAGAAAGCCTCAAATGATTGTTTCAGATGCAGTCAGCTGTATTAAATCAGGTCTGAAGTACACTTTATCAGACTTGCAGAAATGGCTACTAACTATGCAAAGTGAGTGTTTGGGAAACTTCAAAGGTAGTCAAAGGCAGGACAAGTCGATGAGCCTTTCTTAGTGTGGCTAGAGGGAAATACGGATAAATCTATCAAGGAATTCTTGATTAGCTTCTAATATCTGGGTCACAGAGCCTGCAGGCCACTGACTCAGCAGGTTTATGTAAACTGTTACCATCTACTGCATCATCATTAGTGACTAATTAATTATAAAATGATCAAAAGAGACCACAAGGCTTATATTCATAATGCAGTGGTACTAAATGAAAAGAAATGGCTGAATAACTCCTGTGGCTCCTGAAAAGTTGATAAATGTGCTGTAATTACTTTGAAAGTAGTAGATTCCACTTGCATTTGCTCTCAACATTTTCAGTAGCTTGCATGCAGCATGGTGTAAAAATTCCCAGAATAACAGCAGTCCTATGTTAATAGAGTTCAGTTTAATCCCATATGAAAAAGTTGTCTTGATTCAGCTGGAGTAGAATTAATCTGCAGACTCTAGATGATCACCACAGACCCACATTCAGAGCTGGTCATTTTGCATCACTTGGAACACATCCAGCCTCAGTTATGGCTGTCACTGGAATGGAGAAAAAGTCACTTCTGGAACTTTGTTCCCCTGTTTACTTTAAGATCAAATAAATTTTACCTTCCAAGTGCCTGTTTTCCTCCATTTACTCTCAGTGAGCAGCGTATAAAGCAACCAGCTCCCTCTGTGGCAGAGATCAAAGCTTTGGTAAGTTAACTCCTATCCTGACTGTATTTCTAACACTGGTGTCTTTCTTGTTACTAATAGAGAGGACAAACATGAAAAGATATTTTCCTGTTTCCATTGTCATTAGAACCTGTAAGTCAGGATGGGTGAGTGTGGGAAGCATCCTAAACTAGGAAAAAAAATCAGAAGATTTTCCTTTGCATCAGGTTTTTTATTTCTACTTTCTGCTTGTATTATCTTTGAAAGCTTCCTTACCAAGATTTTAAGAGCCTGTTTTTCAACTGGGAGCTGAATAACATGAAGATATTTGACAGATATTTATTTACAGGAACTTTACTAAGTTTATTGGGGATTTTTATTGCTGAATGATTAGGCCCTTAGTACTGCTTTGCTTGGCAAAATCCCTTTCAATTTAAAAAGTGCTTTGGCATTTTTCATTTATTTTGTTAAGAAATACATACTTTAAAAATGTTACTGATGAACAGCAGAGTGTTTCATTCAGTCATTCATTCCTTTATTCTTCCAGAAAGTGTAGCATGTTATCATTAGCTTTGCATACAGCTTGGAGCACATCTTTAAACCACTCACAGCTTTCTTCCTAAATCACTTCGAACTTACCATTCATTCTGTCTCCTCTCCCCTTTCACAATTATTTGATGCCCTCTTGAAGGAAAATTATGTTTTCTGAGATATAAATTACCTGTGCGCATAAAGTCAACTACATCGAGCATAAAGTCAATATTTATTTGGTGTTTTTATCCTGTAATTGATGTAAGCACTTGGTGCAGTCTGGGAGTGAGCTTTCCAATGACACAGTTGATCATTTTAATTGCTTTGCTGTTGTCTTTCAGATGTCTCATGCAGCCACTAGTGCCTTTTGTCGTTCTATTAAGCTGCAGTGTGAGCTTTATCCCTCCCGGGAAGTCGCGATCTGCTTGGACCCCTACTGTGGACTTGGGTTTGTCCTCTGGTGCCTCTGCAGGTGAGGCTTCTCCTCAGCCTTTTCTGAATCACGGTTTCCATTGTAGTGTGGCACAACAGAATGGATGATGTGAGTGATAAAAGGATGGGAGGAATGGACAGCGCCTCTGGGACTGCCACAGGCAGTTGGAGTTGCTGGAATCTGTGTGGAAGCTGCTGGCTGGAGGATGTGGTTTGTTTGAGTTGGGCATGGCCGTAGGTATTTAGACTTGGAAGTACAGAGCATCAGCAGGGCTGCTCATTGACCTCCTGCTGCTTTACTGCTGTCTCTGCCCAGTCTGGCTTGTTTTATTTGATGGAAGCAGTGCTTTACTAATATTACCTTAAGGAAGTGTTTTCCTCATGTTCTCTTTTTCATTCTCTAATCTGAAAGCAGAGTAGATATGAGGGGACTTTCTCATTTGTGGGACTTTCAGGATGTGATTTTTCAGAGACACAGAAGTGTGTTTTCTTGCAGGTACTTTTATGGCAGTAGCGAAGTTACCAGAAAACAAAACATTTCTAGTGAAACTTGAATTAGCTTTCTTGGTTAATAAATTTAGAAATATAATAAAGAGATTCTGTCAATCCCTATACTCCAGAGAACTTACAGTTCAGCACTGAAAGCAGGTCTATTGATTGATTTTTTTTTAAGTTAGCTAGGCTGATGCAGAGGCAAAGGAAAAGAACTGTGAGTGTTAATGGAGCCCATTTTGATGAAGGCATCTCAGAGTCACAGCAGTCTGACATCTTTGCTCTCTTCGCAGAAAGTTCTTTGGTGTTAGCAGTACTGCTATTTTTAGTTACTAAAATGAAGATAATCCACAGCATTAAAAATACTTTGGATAAACTTTGTTCCAATTTATTAAATAACTGAAGGAAATATTGTTTGATAACAACTACAACAATTTATTTTCAGCAGTTACTGTTTATTTAAAAGTAGGCTATTGGCATGGTTATTTCACTTTTAAAATGTTTGCTATTATGTATTAAATAGGCTAAAGATTAACAGTATTATCTTATTCATTCTTGATCAGTTTCTCTTGATTTAAGCTATACTTGCCTAATTCTGTTTTGAATTTTACATAGGGATTAGAGTTCCCTTTGTTTTAAAAAACATTTGTGTTTTCAGTGTTTTATTTACCCAACATAAAACTATTGAGGCTGCAAAAAAACCTCCCAAAAATACAGCTTAAGAAATATTGAGTTTTTAATTAAATCCCTCTGTTTTAAGTTTAATTTTTATATGTTGTTTTTTAAAATTCAGTCAACTATTTCTGATAAAGACTTGAGTGTTCCAGCATGTGTTGATGTCAGCACTGTTGGGCCAGGGATGGTCTGTACAGCACCATAGGAGAGTTCAGCTAAGGAATGTATCATTGTATAGGATAGTGCTGGAACACAGAGCATCTGGGAATAACTTCTCTGCAGCCTCGTGATAGAGCCATAAAACACAGATAAATGTAGACCTGTCCAAAACCCAAATAATTTGTGGTGCCCAAGACTCTCCTGAATGCAAATTTATTTTTTTTTTTTCTTCCAGAAACATTTTTCCGGCAAATACGCACTTGCTGCCCTTAGGTCCTTCCCAACCCTGATAGTATTCAGACTTTCAGAAGGAGAAGATTGTTTATGACTGGCAAGTGAATTAAGGCAGCAGGCCTCTGGGGGAAAGCAATCAGAGTCTGTGCTCATTTGTAGCTTACAGAAGGAATAGAAAATTTCAAATACCATTTTCAAAGAAGAGAAAGGAAGCAAGGGAGTTGAAGGAACTGAGATCAGGCCAGCAACACTCTTGTCTTATGAACCTTCATATCAATCTCTTCTTTGCCACCAATCCCCTGTTCCTATTAAATCAAAAAAACTTCAGAATTGTGATTGTCATTTGGAGAAAGCTGCATCAGATACAACCTAATTAATTCCACTTACAAATCTAATTTCCATTTCATTACTATTTTAGAAATGAGGATTATTTGATGTGATAGGAAAAAATACAGCCTGGAGTTTATAAGGCTCTTACTCCTCATAACTTAAAATTTTGTGACTTTGCATTTTACCCTTTGAGGTTTGGCATAACTGGATCCTGCCCAACATTTCAACCCAGATTTCTAACTCAGAGAATTCTACTCTAAACTTATGATTGTCTATCATCACTTCAATTTACTAAATTAATTTTTCTAATGGCATATGGAAATGAAGTTTGATCTTCAATTTTTTACAAGTCAGGGGCTTTTGAGAGTTAAATAGGAGCTCTTTGTTTTAGGAGCCCAGCAGGAAGCAAGAGCAACCTCCTGTGCTGGGTGCAGTTAAAAGTACATTTACATTCCTTTATTAACTAGACCAAAGGAGGCATTGACTAAGAAATTGAAAGAAAAACTAACCTTTTATCCCCGTTGTAGGTGCTTAGATGTTGTGCTGGCCTGCTCCACTGCGGTGCCCCAGAGTTCCCCATTCTGTGAGGTCAAAGCTACTTAGGAAAGCTGCTGGAGCATGGAGCCAGCCCTTTGGTAAGTTTGGAATATATTGCATAGTTTTGCAAAGTTTTTTATTTTTTTAAAATTTATTATTTTATGGCCTAAAGGTTATAAAATAATAAAGAAAAGAAACCTTGCAAAGCAGAGCAATACATTAAAAAGATCTGTTCCTTCTAAACTGGCTGCATGCTCCAGCAGGGTTTCCTTGGAACCTTTGTCATTGAACAGCAAGTCCTGGGTGTGGCAGCAGACGTCAGCCCCATGTGAGTTCACAAACCCCTAACTTCCTAATTTGAATGAGTTCTTATGATTCAATAAAAGAATACATTATCTTTGCATTTTTCTCTTTAATAATCTCATTTATCCATTTTGAGAAGGTGATCCTAATATTCTGACTTGCATTGAGTTACATTTTAAAATGTACTACATTCTTTAAAAGGAAAAAAGAATTTCCTCAAATGTAAAAAAAAAAAAAAAAAAGAATTCTAAATCCCATTGTTCAGAAATGCTTCCTGAAATTAAGATGTCCCTGTCTTAATGCTTCTTACTGTGGGGCAGAATACAGCATTCTGCAGTTCATTAGTGAGGAGTCACTTAATTGATATTTGCTGAGTAATGCAATAGAATAAGAATTTTCCCTCTACTTTAGCCCAGCTAAGCCATCTGAAATTGCAGTTCTACTGTAAAAGTAGAACTCTGCTGGAAGACAGAATTGTCCTTGCTCAAATTAAAACTAAGTGCACTAACTATTTTTAATAAACTTTATATATATTCTCAGAAACTGAGCATGTAGTGGTGTAAGTCAGTGAGACTCAGACTGGACCAGAGGAACTGAATTTTCTGGCCCACAGTTGCCATGCAATAAATAACATGACTGCTATGAAATGGTCCAGGGAAGGCTTTCCAGAGAAGGTGCCTTCTCTTATCCTGCTCCTGCTGCCTCTGTTCCATAGCATGAAGCCAAAATCCACAAAATCCAGGTGGCTTCTGCTGCAAAAGACTGCAAGGTTTCTTAGTAACCAGACAGGTGGAACTGTGCTAGAAGTAAGCTAGGGTTTGCAACACCAAGAGGAGAACTGCATTTTAGCAAAGTTTATTGTGTTAGGAGTCACTGATTATTGTTTTTGGCTAACTTGAAGATAACTGGCAGCCATGAGCATTTCACCCAATTTCCAGCCCATGTGCAGCAAATTAAAGGCAGGACTGCATAAAGAAGCCTAAATGTCACATCAGAACTGGGTAACTCTGACATTGGAAGTGAAGGATATGAACATAAACATCTGTCATGTATTTTGCAAAGTGCATAACTGGCACAGGAGGGATGGCAAGGTATGTTGTCTGCCCACACACTGCTGTGTGCCAGTTTCCTGGAGAGTCTGTAGCCAATGACAATTTATGGAAGAGGCAATTTGCTTTCCTTCCACATTACACCAGTACTGCTAAACCTGCTTCAAGCCTGGAAAGTTGAAGGGCAGCTGAAAGCCCTGAGTCACCTTGATATGTGAGTTCTGAGATGAGTTGGCAGACTTACCTCACCACCTCTGGAGACATGCCCATACATGGGGTATAAGTGGGGCAGGAGAGATGGTGGTAAGGAACCAGAATGATGCTCAAGGCTGAGCAATGGCCTTTTGCTGTCTCTGGTACTGATGGGCTATGTGCTTACCTGTGCAGTCGTGCTCTTAGAGCACTGTGTGCCTGCCAGCATCTTTAGACACTGCAGGTGGTGTGAGGTTCTTTACTTTTTCTCCAAAAGTCCCTGCTTTTTGTACATGATGGATCTCCAGAACTGAAGATTTAATTTTGGTCCAAGTCCTTTGAAGCCTAAGAGAGATATATGCCCAAACACTGTCCTCAATAGCCTGTACTGTCCTTCCTACAAACTCTGATCCAGATGACTGTGAAGATATTTGTTCTCCCAAACACCCAGTTCCCACACCTGGCCCTCATCACTAAATGCCAGATATCATCTGTAGAAATGCAGAAACCAAATGCATACATTCAGAGGATGTACCCACATTCCTCCTCCAGTTAAGTGGGGCAGCAGCTCATGTCACTCCTGACACGGGAGTGAGGGCAGTGACAGGTCAGTAACTGCCAGAATGCAATTGCAAATTGCACTTGCCACTGTCAGCATTTATTGACCTGCTGAAATTTTTGGAATTATAATAAAATCTCATCTTTTACTGCTAATCTGCCTCAGCACAATATGGGCTATATTTCCAATTCAGTGGAACATTTAAGTGCCAAGAGGTCCTTCCTGGAATCTCCGTATGCTGCCAGAACAGCCTGCCGACAGCAGAGCTATTGTTGTGATCAGATGGTGCTGTCTTACCAAAATACATCCTGGTGCTTTTACCTGGAGTATTCCTGTCCTTGGGCAGCCCTTGCTTAGTGCAGGCAGACAGAGCTCTTCACTTACTGCCAAAATCCAAGGCTTTGTCCACCACAGGAGTACTTTTTTTTCCCCTGGATTGCTCTGCAGTCCCCTAAAAGAAGACAGCATTTCTAAAAGGTGATCTCGCACCTCAGCCACCCCTGCATTTCACTTTGCATCTGCATTCCAAAAGTCACTGTGACAAGGTGATGGACGCTCTGCTCTGTGTCTGCTCCTGTTATTAAGGCTTGCATCAGGCAGTGGATACTCTTGTGACACAGTTTTCTGCAGCAATGGAGGAAACAATCTTGATACAGTTCCTTCCCAGTATTTACATAAGTAAAATCTTGCACGTAGTCCATTGTATCATATATTTTTGCAGTCTCAGAAAGCAGAATTTAAGTTCAACGGTTTATATTTAAACTCCCAAATCTTTCCTAATATCCCACTCATCCCCCTGCTGTTGCAGTGTTCACCGTGATTTTGTTGGTTCCTGTATGAGAATGGCCAAGCTGACAGCTTAACCATTCTGTCATTGTTTCAAGGTGAGATGGAACTGCCTCAGTTTCAGGATTAACTCTACCAAATATAGAATTCCTTACCTGAATGAACTTACTAAACTTCTCTGCATTCCTGGAATTACATGGAGACAGCATTGACAGAACTTCCTATAGGTTTGGAACAATATCAAGCTTCATCCAAAGCAGGCTTGCAGAACTGCAGTTTGTTCAAGCATGTGGTTCTCTGGTGTTTGGCATTCATGCTAAGCAAACACCCTGCAACATCTCACAATGATTTGAAATCACTAGAATGGTATGAAATGTTTCAACCAGCTCCACAAGGGTATTTTTTCCTCAGCTTCTCTCTATCAGAACACGGGTGATAGACAGCTTCTCAGGGGAATTTAAATCTGGGAATTTTCAGAGATACGCAGCATTTTGTGGCTTGGACTGATACACAAATTCTGTGTAATGTTTCAGAGATTGATTCAGGGAGCTTAGCCAAGTTATGGCCAATGTCGTGGTGACCAGGTGCTGCATAAACCACTTCAGCTGTGGAACTGGCACATTCACCCCACAATTATGCCTTTGTAGTTCTTCTTGTAGCTCCACCAACTGCTCTTGCAAATCAGAGGATATGCATGGATTATTAAACCACAGCTCAGTAGGCAAAGCCTGTGCTGGGCATGAAGTTTGCAGGCACGGAATCAGCTGGCTGTAGGTTTGTGTATTGCAGCACGTGTGAGGCTCTCCACCACAGAAAGTTTTCTTCCTGCTAGAAATTTCCTTCTGCTGTACAGTTTCATCCTGAGCTCCACAGTATTTTTGAGGCATTAGAAAATTCAGAAAACATAGTAGCAGCATCTTAATTTGTTTCAGTCTAATTGGAGTAATTTTTTTTAGTCTAAGCCTGATCATAAGAGAATTTGTTTCCCTCGGTCTGAAGAAGATGGGTTATTTTGCATCCAGATCCTCATACTTTGCTGCAGGACTGTTGGTGGAGCAAAACCACTTTCTTGTCCAGAAGTTGAGAGAGGTAGACAGTTCACCCTCACACATTAGTGCTGCTGAGGGCAAAAACATTTGTCTTGGTGTAAATTCTGCTATTTTGAATGATTTCCTGGTAAAATACATTTGGAATCAATTTCCTGTTTTCCTACCGAAATAATGCAGTTTTCTTCTCCAGTGTTATTGTGGAGTTTGTGCAAACACTTTTCAGTACAGGGATAAAGTTTGTTCTTTTGATTTGGTTTTGATTTTGGTATGTCTGCCCAATTGAATAAGTGGTACCTAAGGGATCTTAATGTGGTTGTGCGTAATAATCCTCCCACATCTGACACCCTGGCATCACGTTTATTATTGTGCAGATACTTTTTTCACCTGATACTGGTTGCATCAATTAGAGATCAGGGTCAGGGGGAAGAGTTTGAAGGTAAATCTCTGTATACCATATTTGTACAGATTGGAGCCCATCTCAGGTTTTCACTTGAGTGGTTACAGGCTCCTTTTTGTAAGAATTATGTATTTACCAGACAGATTGTACACATTGATTGTTTGTGGAGCCCTAAGCTTAAAGGTCTTTTGGTCTTACTTCTCTGAAAAACTTAATAGAATTTGCTAAGGATGAAAGAGTGAGGTAATATTTATAGTAAAAATTTGTACTACTCCCTGGCTGGTTTGATCTTTCACTTGAGCTCAGGGCATTCCCCTTTCAGGTGGGGGTAATGCTGCCAAGATCTCTTTTCACATGCTTATGCAGCACATGCTCAAGGTTCAGGGATGCTTTATTTGGATTCCATGAAAGGGTAATGTTCATTTTCCTGCCATGGCCATCGTGTCAGCCCCATCCCAGAACACATCGCTCCATGGTGAGCCACTGGTCATCACTCACCCAGAGTGGCATAAATGGGGACAAGAAGTCAAAGATAAAATTTCTCCTCTGTGATAAATGAAATTGCTTGAACTGTAGTTCATACATATTCCATTACATCCTCAGGCTCATACTCCAGCAGAGACCTAAACAATTTGGTTTATTATCTGCTGTTGTGGCTGGGCTTGTTCACCTTTTTTGCCTTTATTGTACCAAGTAAAGATACCCAGGTCACACAGATCTCGTTCTACATGGCACAGCTTTTGAAAACACTCTCATCTGGGTTTGGGGGAGGTGGGGGCATTCACTCACCAGGGAGGGAATGTGTGTTTGTATGTTTGTGTGTGTGTGTGTGTGTGTGTGTGTGCAGCCCATCTGCAAGAATTGCAAAGGTGCCTGATGTCCACTGTTACAGAAATGCTCATATTCCTGAAAATAAAGTTCCATTTCATGTCTTACCTCAGAGTCTTGGATTTGAAAACATCAACTTTAGTTTACCAAGCTGGCATTTCAAGTTTTCAAGTCACAAATGAAATTCTTTTATGCATCATAAATCTTGAGGGCTTTTATGGCTCTTTCTCAGAACTTCTATGATTTGGAGGCTTTACGCTGTCACCATTCTGATTTGAAATATCTACAGATCACAAATTGAGATGTGAGGGGACTGTAAAATTGATGGTAAATCTGCCTGTGTGAGATGAGTGAACAACATAGAACCCATGGGAAATAAAGTCATCAAATTGGGAATATTTTTCCCTTGAGGAGAATCTTAGGTACCAGAGAAATTAACTCTGACATAATTGTTTCCCTCAGGGGCCCCTGATAAGTGTATTTTCGCAATATTTATGCTCCACGGGTATCCAGTATAGAAGATATGTAGTATATTTGAGTTTCAAAAGTTCATAAAACTTTCACAAAAAGAATTTGAAGCTACAAGGGATGTTAAATTAGGGACAAATTTAATCCCTTGAGAATTATTGCAAACCCCTTGCTTGCTTTAGCAGGAGACGGGTTGCTTCCATATTAAGTAATAAAGTACTCTTTTAGTCAGGGTCTCTTAAAATGCTAATTAGTCAGTCCAAGATATTTGTCAGCAACACTTATTTTTTCTTAATATTATTATACTGCTTATTCACACCATTAATAACTGAGCTATTTTGCTCTTTTTGGTACAGTCGTAACAGCAAAGTCCACTGGAATTTTGAGTAAATCAGTAGTTCAGGGGCACATTCTGCCTGCAGTCCTCATGATTCATCATAGACTCTGGAAGTACAGCAAAAAAAAACAGGTTTAAACATTATATCAAACTTCTGGAGCTGTGGAGCACTGTAAGGCTTTACATGATTCAGCCAGTGCTGTGATAAACTGTATATTCACGTGCCCCATGGCTTGCTGTGGACACTGGTGTTTAGTGTGTGTTAATGAATCTTGTGTCTTGCAGCGTTTATTCAGGACACCAGTCTATTCTGATTCCTCCCTCAGAACTGGAGACCAATCCTGCCCTGTGGCTTCTTGCCGTGAGTCAGTACAAAGTGAGAGACACTTTTTGTTCCTATTCAGTCATGGAGCTCTGTACTAAGGGACTCGGTTCGCAAACAGAGTCGCTGAAGGTGAGTGGTTCTGCTGTCCTGCACGCCCTGCCGCCCGCACGGTGGGGTTTGGGAGCCTTGAACACTCTGCTGAATGTCTGCTGAGAGGAAAAAAAACATCTGAGGGAACAGGCAGCTTCCACAGAACCCACATTACTCCTTGCCAAAGGCTGTGTACCAATACCTGTCATTCCTTAGATCAGAGGGCTGTTAAACATCAAGGAAAGGCTTTTATTTATCTAAGCTTTCTGATGTGTGTTGCAGCCTGTGTTGATAGGTGTTGGAAAACAGAGGTTTAAATGTCCAAGAGGCTCAAGGAGTATTACATCATGTAGTGTGTTTTATGAATACCCTGGTTATATGAAGTACTAGTTTGGTTTTGATCCCATAGTTAAATAATCACATGTTAAAAGTACTGTGTTGTTTTAACTAGATGGTCCTCGTTGCATGGAGAGGTGTATCTTCCTTTTCCCCCCAGAATTAAAACCCAGGTAGCCAGTTAAATATCTGAAATCATCTGGAATTTCCCATGTGCTACTGAATTAAATTGAATCTTGAGATGCTGATATTTATGATGTCTCCAGCCTTTACCATCCTCGCTTAATAATTTCCTAATCAGTTTTTCCACGTCTAGACATTGCTTCCTGTTTGCTGTTATTCACTGTCGTCTGAATTAATTGGGGGAAATAGCATTCCCTCCCTTCAGAATTAGCATGCCTATCATTTCCTATGTGCTAATGTTAAGATGACAAGCAAGTATGTGCTTCTTCAGCTATTAGAGTGTCATCTGGCCATCCGGCCTCCAGGAAAAATGGAAACTGTGCTGATACCTTACCTCTGTTCTGCTGCTCCTCTTGAATCATATTACCTGCATAATACACTTAAGAACTTCTGTTTTGCATTAAATCTGCCCATTTGTGGCCTTTGTTACATTTTGATTTCTTTCTAGGCAAGGGGACTGGACCTTTCACGTGTACGGACGTGTGTAGTAGTGGCTGAAGAACGACCTCGGATAGCTCTTACTCAGTCATTTTCAAAGTTATTTAAAGACCTGGGTCTCCATCCACGAGCTGTCAGCACATCACTTGGCTGCAGAGTTAACCTGGCAATATGTTTGCAGGTAAGATTTTTCACTCCTTAAACTCAAAGTTGTTTTAAGGAATTGGTTTTCAGTAAGAATCGTTCATTGTATTTCCTTTGGCTGTTTGGTCACAGACATACTAAGGAAATGCATGTGGTACTTAATATTCTTGCATACACAGGTAGAAAATTTCTGTTACTTCGTCAAAAATTCATCCCCTTCATGTTGCAATCACAGCATTTATTCTGCCCATGAATACAGTGATTCAGAAAAGCAACTGACAGTGACAGAACGAGTACTCTGTGCTCCAGAGCCAATATGTAATCATGTCATGTCAACCCCAGTTTCCAAGTGCTTACTTCAGTGTGTTACAAAATGGATTCCTTCTGTTCGTAAAATACTTCCAACCATTACTTGTTTAACTAGATTGATATTTTCTGCACACAAGGAAAATTATTTTACTATATCTCTTCTGTTTTGATCCTCTAGTCAGAAGAAAAGTACCAAGGATAATATAGGATGTAACATGCATTCTCCAGAAATCTTTACTGAGTCATGATTTTAATGACCGAAGGAGCACAGTGCTATCTGGTCTGCATTTCTGAATAGCATCTAGTTTTTCAACCACTGATAACTATACCAAGCAAATACTTTTAGGTTGATCTAGAGTATTTTATCTTTGAGGAGTTCATGTGGTGAAAGCTAACTTGCCTTTCTTTAAGGTGTTCAATTTTTAATTAATTTTGCCTTATTCCCAGTTTAAATTCATCTGGCATTAGATCTAGACATTTTTTATTCTAGAATAAGAATCTAATTTCTGTCATGCATCTAATACACATCTTAATTTTGATATAAAGATAAAGAATCTTAATATATGCTTTCCTGATCTCTGTCTCATTTTTGTGGGTCTTGATCTCTTTCTCTCCTTCTAAATCTGGTTTCAGAGTTGCACGTATTATTCCTGTAATAATACCACAGGTGTCCTACTCAGGTGTTATATGTTTTCTAATTCAATAACCTTTTAAATCCTGAAAGAATCACCTTCTGCATTGGCAGCTGCTCTGGCTGGGAAGTTCCATATCCATTTGGTCATGTGCCATGTCTCTAACCTCTTCAAAGTCACTGTGTCCTCAGTAGGACTTGCCACACTCTGTGTGGTCCATCCCACATTTCAATTCTGGCAGTTACCCCTGGTTTACATGAAGGATTTCTCATGAAGATCACAGGGGTACCTGCTTCGGTGTGGAAGTCAGAAGAAATCTCAGTAAAACTGCAAATAAGAATCTGCTATTCCTTTTCTGATTGTAAATGTAAATATTTTTTAATTTTAAAAAAACTGACAAACTAAGGTTATGGGTTCGGCACAGAGCAGTATGTCTGTGCCTGCTTCAGCCTCTTGCCCTTTTCAATGTTACCAGGATATGAAAACAAAGAGGTGTGCCACACCTCCAGGACTGTTTGCTTTCTCTCTGACTGCAGCAGAGTATCCCTACAGCCTAGGCTGTCTTTATTTATTATTGTCAAGCATATGACAAGGCAAAGCTGAGCAGGGTTAAAACTCATTCTGTTGCCCAGAGGTAGAGTTGTTTGGTTTGCCATTCTGTAATTGCTGCCAAAAATATTCTCCAGGAATAAAAAAGTTTTAGAAAGGAGGGGAAGCAGGGCATACCTTCCTTGGAAACAGGTCAGGATGGGACCTGCCAGCTCTCCCCTGCAGCTGTGGTGGAGCTGCTTCTGAAAGACAACTCAGTTTCTCTGGCTTCTGGTCCTTGGAGGGACCAGACATGAAGGATGCTTTAGATTACAAGGCCAAATTTTTAGCTGCAGAAGTTTGCTTGCCACTAATGAAAATCTCCATTTTAGATGTGCACTGATCTCTGGATGGTTCATGGTGGTTGCATCATGTATATGCCCTTAATTCAGGACAAATAGTAAAATCAGGGGGTAACACTAAGTAGCAGTAAGCCAGGTGCCATACCAAAGTGTGATCTGCTGGAAGTGCTTGTTCTGCCTGGGATTCATGTTTTTCATAGCAGCCTGTGCGGAGCTGTGTTTTCAATTTGTGACTGAACAGTGTTGGGGGCACACCAGTGGTTGGGCTCTTGCTGATCAGTCCTGCACTGCATCAGGGCTGTCCCCATTTCTCTCTGTGCCCCCTGCACCATTGCCCCACTGCCCTCCAGCAGGCAGGCTGGAGGAGAAAGGAACTGGCAAGGGGCACAGCCAGGAAAGCTGTCCCTAGCTGACCTGGGATATTCTATACCACATAATGTCATGCTCAGCATTATAGGAAAAGGGTGGTTGATGTTCCAAAATTGCTCAGACACTGGCTGGGCATTGTTCTGCCCAAGGGGGTGATGAGTGATTGCTCCTGCATCACTTGGGTTTTTCTCTTTCCTTCTCTTATTAAACTGTCTTCATCTTGACGGATTTTGTGGATTTTCTCATTTTTGCTCTTCCTATGCTGTACCACAGGGAGCTGGGTGGGTCCTCAGCTTGGTCAAGCCACTGCAAACATGCAGGAAAGCTGCTTACACTCAGAGAAACTGGAAGTCCTAATCAACATGGAGTTAGGCTGGATTATGGCTTGGCTATGTGTGTCTGCCTTTTGATTGGGTTAACTCCTTAGCTGAAGACTGCTTCTTAGATGGTTCTTCACAGAAATTCTTGAAAGTGTTGTTGAATCAAACTGTAAAAGTGGCTAAATCTCTGAAGGAATATTGTTAATGGTAGTGCCTATGGGTTTAGGAACAGCACAGAATGAGAGCCTTGAGTGAGATGGTTAAACAGCCTGGCTAAATGCATAGCTTAATGTCAGGTTTTGTTGAGTTCTACTAAGATGTGGCATCTCAGTCCATAGGACAAACTAAAAGCCAAACACTGTGTAAAGAGTGGTGTGGCTGGAATGGAGAAAAGCCACTTCAGGACAGGCTATATGTAGCAACATGATCCTCCCAAGTGGAATCGTTTTTGAAGCATTTTAGCTGAGGCTTTTTTGGCAAGTTTTAAAGGTGTTTGAAAAATTACTGAAGGTTTTACTTGCAAGCATCACCACAAAACATGTCATTTTGGTGGAGAATATAAAGATAGGGACTTGCGTGTTTTGAAGCATCTGGCAGTAGGCATTGCCAGGGACTGGATACTGAATTAGATTGAATGCTCTTTCCAAACTGTCTGGAAGTTTATGGCTAGTGGTATTCCAGAATAGCTTGTGGGCTATTCTGTTTTCTCACTGAGGAACAAATTAAATTTTAATCCCTTATCTACAATATTCCTGCAATTAGTATTGTCTCCAGTGTATTCCAGAAATGGGTTATGATTTCTGGATTCTTCACACTGCATAAAACTACTTCTCAAGATATTTGAGTCAATAGCATCTGCCTTTGCTTTTTATCTTCCAAGTTATGTCATCTATGAGAACAACACGTGGTCCCTGGAAAACGTGGTTCCCGTGGTTCCACAGGGATAATGATGATCCAGCCTGTTCTGTCTGCAGTGTTTCTAAAATATGTATTTACTAATCACCCTACTAAACATATCTCAGTATTCTACTACTGACCCTTACCAGCAAAAAAAGCCTATCCAGGTTTCTTCTCTGTGGGCTACCTCTAATACATCTTGGATGTTATTATCTTTGATACCTCCTTGATTTCCAATTTACTGGACAAATCCAAGACTCAGATGTTTAAAGGGGAAAGTATCCTGATTTTTCCAGAAAGCTTTTACAGTTCACCTCTCCAAAAAGAAGTGGAGGAAAGTATATATGTGTGGGGGTGGGTCTGTGTGTGTGTGTATAGCAGAATTTAACATTTTATTAAAGATTACCTTCAAAAGGAAATCATTGTGATAATCTCTTTTGTACAAAAGACTCTTAGTCTACCAAATTATCTTAATTTCTGGGTTGTGATCACTGACAGACTAATGCATTGTCATTTGTATTCATTTCCTTTCAAACTGAGAGCAAATTTAGTATGTTTCCTTTGATGTTGTCATTTCAAACTAGATTTCTAGAGATGTGCTTTTGAAAATAAATAATTCTCTCCATCTTTAGGTACTTAAATACTATTAATATCTGACCTTTTATAGCTGCATAGTCACAGATAATGGTCCAGGGATTAGTGAGATGAAAAAGATTGCATCTAGCATATTTTAATTCTCATTAACTAGCATCTTAACATTTGAGAGAGAAAGAGAAAAAATAGATATGAAAAATAGCTGGTTTCTTACAACAGCACAGATGGTTCTCTAGGATTTTAGCTGATTTCCATTTAAACACTTGGAATAAATATTTTCATTTTATTCAACCTGCTACTCAATTTCAGTTGAGGGAAAACTTCTAGAAGTTGTCAATTTTCCTTAGTTAACCCTGAAAATGTACTAACAAATCTGTCCAAGCTAAGGAGAGCAGGATTCATCTTGCTTCTTTTCTGTCTCTTCTAACTGAGGCTGCAAGGTTAAGTGAGTTATCCCATATCCTTCAATAGGCAGTGGAATCAGAGAAATACTTCAAGATACATCTCAGGCAACCGTCTGGGGATGGAATCCATCACCATCAGGAGATTCTTCCTACCTTAATTGCACACTTTCTTCTTCAATGGCTGAAGTTGAACATGAACATGAAATGAACCCTTTCCTCACTGTCTAGCAACAGGGCATAAAGTTACTATTTCTTTTTACTTAATGATAGATCACATTCTCTGAGGATCTTCCATATTAAAAGTAATAAAGTGTAGGTCTGCAAAGAGTGCCACAGGAGACCAAGCACTGTGTCAGAGTTATGATTCACACTTAGCAATGTACTACAGCTCTGGGTGAGCTCCCTCAGATTCTGTTTTCCCACCTTTGCTATGAGTCATGCCATGAAGTTCTTTTCACAGCTCCAGCCACTGTGCTTGCATAGGTGACATTGCCAAGTGCACACCAAAAATTCCTTTTCTGAGCATCACTGGAACAGAAGCAGACTCAGAGTAAACACTGAGGCCACATCCTTAGGCAGTTAAATAAAACCCAAAAACCCAGTTGTTTTTAAATTCTTAGGATTTCTGATAGCCTAGTTCCTGGTTTTTAACTCTGGAGAGCGAAGTAGAGGAGCTTGGCCTTTGACTTGAGTGGAAATTAGGTATGCACTGAGTCCTGGCACATGGTCAGCCCTGCAGCTGACTTGCTGGGGTGGTCCTTCAAGCAGTTTTGACCTGCAGTGTTTTCCCAAAGAATAAAAGCCTGGCATATTGCTGAGATTTGCTCAGACCAGGGATGTTTCACCAGTGGCAGCCTGTGCATGGGCAGAGGTTTTAGTCCAAGAGATGTGACTTATGATATACTCATTTTCAGACAGAAAATTCTACATGTCCCCTTTTGTTTTCTTGAACACTACCAGGGTTGTCCTAAGTAAATAGGAGATACTCCAGAAGTTGTGTAGTTTTTTCCCTGTTACCAGCATAACAGATGCTCTCTATCTCTGTCTCTCGAAATAAATGTGCACAGACAAATTGAGTCAGTCATTCTGGTCTTGGCTTAGACTCTGCTTCCTTTGAAATACTTTTCAGAGTATCCCAGCTGCAACTGGCCACAGAAGGATGTTGCTGATAATTCAGCTGCTGTTTCTCAAGCCGTTCTGTGTTAAAAAACATATGAGGCTCTGGTACCCCCAAAGTCCTTTCTGGACCTGCAGTATAGTCACAGGCAATGAATTACATAACTGCTGGATTTCAGTAATTCTCTGGCTTTCTTGCAGTTACACTGCACTGTTCAGCCTGGATTATTAGTAATACCATTTTGGGGCATCAATGCAATAAGCAGATCCGTCCTATTTTTGTTGAATGTTTCATCTTTCTTTGCACTCAAAATAAACCTGTCTAAAGGTACTGCTGTGGAAACTTCCTGCAGTCTTTAACTCTGCTGGCATCAGAAGTCTGGTGAGAAGAATGTGGGATGCCAGGGCTTTCAGAGCTGTTTGTTTTCACAAGTTGTAGGGCAAATCCCACAGCAGCCATCTGGTGTTAGATACTCCATGTGGTAGTAGTGCCTTAGGACTAGTCACCACTGAGGATTTTTTGTCTCTTTGCTGAGTTATCAGTCATGGTGGAGAGCTGATGGGTTTTTATCAGCTTTTACTTTTACTGTTCTTTATATGTATTACACTGTTTACCATAACAAATAGGAATGAAGACTTACTGGGCTCTGAAGTTACTCCATTTATTTATGGTCTTCCAGTACTTAGATTATCCAACAAGCCTTGATTTTATTTTATTTATTAGATCAGGTTAATCTGTATGCAAGAAGGTGTAAGTATCTTTCTCTGTTGTATACTAATTTTATTTTTTCTTCCAATAAGAGAGCTTACTTTTGATTTCTAGATGACATCACTTACAAACTTCTGTTACTAGTAAAATGGCAGACCTGGAATTCTCAATGGAATAAAGTGCATTCAAATAGGAGGGCCATAATGTTTAATGACTACAAAAACAACAGTAACAAAAAAAAAAATCAGTATGCTAGACACGTGTTTTCCACTAACAACATTGTCTGTAGTGTCCTAAAGCCATTTAAGTCTGTTTGTCCGAGGTTAGCAGTCTACAGCTGTCTCTTCTGTTGCTCTACTAAAATGTTGACACCTCATTTTTTACTTTTTTTAACCTTTAATGGTATAATGGTTAATTTGTAAGATTCCTGTATTTGACATTGTTTTTCTTTTTATTTTACTCCCTGCTTTTTGCATTCTCCTCTTTTTTTTTCTCCCACCCTTCATTCCCATTTTTTATTATTATTTTTGTCTTGTGTTACCTTCTTTCCTTCTCTCCCTCATCCCTGCTATTCCTGCTGCTGTAGCCTCACAGGCTGGGGAAGCTGGCCGAGCAGGTAGGGGATTTTCATGTTCCCTCAATACCCACCTATCAGCTTCCAACAGTGGGACAGACTAGAAATTGAGTCTGGAGATTTGGGGATTTTCAGATCCTTCTGTAAAATTATAAATAAGTCCAGTACAGCTTTATCTGGATGCAGGTTTCATCAAATATTAGATGTTCATTGTAACTATTTCATTCATGCTGAAAACAATAAATACCATAGTGATTGTCTTTAATTTTCAAACTTTACTGTTTCCATTATTTTACAAATCAAACCAGCTTTAGTTTTATTTTTAAAGATAACCAATTTTTCCTTGGTTTTGTCTTTTTCTTTTCAACATTGCATATATTTCAAATAAGTTCTCCACTCAGCACTAGTCTGTTACACTGCTGAGTTTACCAGTAGACTGAAAATTGTGTCGTTAATAGCTAGAGAGGATATTGTACCTTGTATTGTGTATAACAAGCTAAAGAGGCTAACATGCATGTGCAGCTCTATTACTCCTGTTCTCCTTTGGTGGTGGGTGATGCTCAGTACCTGTTCAGTAAGTATCAATTGGTAGTGGTAACGCTTTTCCCCCGTAGACACAAAAATTAGCTCTTTGGGGGTCTGGGTTGCAACTTTTCTTGCTCCAAAAATTGTGGAACAATCAGCCCACATTGCAGAAATGTAAAATTTAGCCCTAGGCATTCCTAATGTGAAGAATTATACTCTACCATGTATCCCAAATGGGACAGAAATCACTAGGAGCTCAGGTTGCCTGCTGGTTTAAGTAGTAAACATCTAAGTAACTGGTAAAGGAGTTTGTGCATCTAGAGTGTACCAGATTTAGGAGAATTACTCTGCTGAAAAGAAAATTTCCAACGTGCCAGTGTTCCAGAATGAAGTTGTGTGTTTGTTGCAGCTTTGTGCTTAGCAGTAGCGTGAGGTCTGCAGCAGAGAAGAGAGCCCTAGCCTGGAGCATTGAGAATTCACATGATGTTCAGTGGTGATGAGTTTGAAGTTTTGGATAAGGGCAGATCATAGCAGGCAGCAAAACTGCAGAAAAGCTGTGGGTGGAAAGGCCTAAAGACTGCATCATCTCTGCATGAAAGGAAACTAAAATTAGTCTGCCTCTTTTCAAGTAACTAAATATTGTGACATAAAGCAAGGGTTTAAATTATGCAGTGGAAGACTGAAAAGGATCAGAATAATTGCTTAACAGACCTTCAGTCCAGATTGGTTCATGTCATGCGTGCTACCTTTACTATCTTTAGCTTCAAGTATATTCTTTGTTGCATGTATGGAAGACTCTCAGTAAACCATGCTTCACATTCCTGACCATGTGCTTCTGCCATTAAACTGTGTCTCCTCAGCAATTTCCGCCTTCCTTTATATGGCAAAACGTGTTTAACCTTTTTTGTATGTATCCATGTGCTGATTACTTGGCCTTTTGTAGCAAATAAAACCTCTGTTGACATGTGTTGGTTAAGTAGTCTGACTGCTTGATGTTTTTCTGAACTCCAAGGTGGCAAGTACCTGATGGTAGGTATGTTTCCAGTGCTTGTTCTGATTCTGTAAAGCTGAGCTTTGATTGATGAATACCTTAAATATAACTTGTCATTTGATTAGTGTAATTAGCGCTGAAATGAATGTTTGGTTATTTGGGGGGTAAAACTCTTTTCTCCTCCCAGCCCTCAGGTTCTGATTAGCTGATGTTGTTGTTTACAGGGAACATCTGGACCAGATCCCACCACTGTGTATGTTGATATGAGGGCACTGAGGCATGACAGGTCGGAACCACCTTTTTCTTTTTCTCTAATACACACAATTAACAGAGTTTGTAGCAAAAAAGCTGCTTACAGCACACCTCATGGACCCTGGAAACCGTTGCAATTCCCATAAATAATTTGTGTAGACTCCTACTAGCGAGCAGACACAGACATCCCATAAATAATTTGTGTAGACTCCTACTAGCGAGCAGACACAGACATTTATATTAGTTAATTAATTAGACCATTGATAAAACTGAGGCATCTGACATCACTACTGCTAAGACTAACAACATTGTTTATTGCCTTTATTGCCATCAGGATTTCATGACATTTGTATTCAGGTCCATCAGGATTTCATGACATTTGTATTCAGGTGGTGCAGCCTAGCCAGTCCCCATGGACTGGAGTCCTGTTGGGCCTTTTAGCTTTCTGGAGGTGTTTCTCCTGGCTGGCAGCTGTTTGCCTGTCAGGAGATCATGGTGGGGATTGCTGCAGTTCTTGATGCTGCAGGACTATGAGGGGGTGGATTATTTGCTTCAGCCACTGTGAGCAACCACATTCTGTAATTGTGGGTATTTACCAGTTCCATCTTGAGTGTTAGATATGTATACAGGGAGTGAGAAATACAATGTATCACTTAGTGTCTGGAGACAAGCTTGAGATCTTAGGTGTGATTGAAAAAAATACTCATGCACATATATTTCAGCTTTCTAATACTCTGGTCATGAGTCTCTTTACAGAACTGTAACAAACCAAGAAGTTTTCTATGAACTCTGGAAAAGGTGAACATTTAATTAACAGTCCTGATTCCCTAAAAAAAATAATTACCCAAATAGAGAGCTTCTTTGTTCTTTTCCTTTCATCCCTCTTAAAAGCTTAACAGAGAGTTTTCCCCTCAACTTTGGCTCTATCAAAGTGACCAGTTCAGCTTGCAGAGTACAAACCTCAGGGCATTGCAGGCCCAAATTACCCACTGGGGAGCTAGGTCAGATAGACGTGTATTGTTGCAGGTAGAAGAAAGGAGCTGGAAGATGTTTGACTCACAATTTCTGTATTCCTTTTGCACATAATGCTTCCAATTATAACAATTATGTTTGATCTGTCTTTGGGACACTACTGTCTGCATAACCCAGCCACAGAAATCTGGTGTTCCTGGCCCAGCAACTCCAGTGGTGTGGAGGCAGAGTCCACAGTCATACTCAACCCAGAAAAGAAAAAAGGCCTTTTCTACAGAAAGAGAATGTAATATTCACAGTCAGTAAAAATTATAAATAATAAAAAAATGTGTTTAGAGAGAGGAATTAAGATTTACTGTTCATAAAAATTGCATTAACCATGGGTATACTATTTCCCTGCTGTAGCATGTCGTTGAGAAGTAGGCATCATTATCAAGATCAGGCTTTGCAGTGTGTTAATTTATATTTAGTGACTAGTTCTACAGAACATGAAAGATGATCTTTAGAGCTGGTTCTCATATTGTGGTAATGTAGATTTTAATTTGATGGTTTGAAGCTGTGCCTCATTTACCCAATCCTGCGGAATTCAGAATTAGATTAGTGGGTCATAAATTAAGGGAGAAAACAACTCTATTTGACATAACATCTTCACTCTTGCTGTTTCTAACCATTTTAGTGGAACTGAATGTCCCTATTACTTAGCAGTATCTGAAAGATTCCTGTAAATATCTGTGAGACCATAGAGTAGCAACTCACAGAGTCTTTGCAGGCCAGCCAGTCAGACCCCTAACAATAAGAGCATTTTACACTGTACACTTAATGGGAGAAAATGTTTTTCATAATTTGTATTTTAGAAGATATTTTCAGGGTCTGAAACAGACTGACTTTTTTTTTTTTTCATGGTAAGATAGCACTCTCAAGCTGCTTCAAAAAACATCTGTAGTTCATCTCTTTGGGATTATTCAAATCCTATTCACATCCATAAAAATTAATAATCAGTTTCAATACAACTATTTCAGGCTCATCCAGTAATTACGTGCTTGCACACTTTACAGCTTATGAAAATGTCATTTTCTTGTCAGCATTTAGATCAAAATACCTGTGCTAGGTACAATCTGTGTGGAGACCTAGTGGTTGTTCGACCAAACTAGATGTTTCCTTATCTCAGCTCTCCCTGGATTTGGATGGTTTGCCCCTTAGGTCAGGGTGGAGGTTTTCAAACACCTTTTTGTGTGTGTCCCTGTGTGGTTTTGAGCTAACAGCCCATTGATTTAGCTGCTGGGACTCTGGCCATAGTACTGGACTCACCTGGAGGTTCAGGAAACGTGTACCAAGGGGTGCAACCACTTGGTCAGTGACTGGCACCAGTTTTGACCCTGAGGAAAGGCCTGACTGCCTGGCTGTGAGCATCTAGTGCAGTTCTAGGTGCTCCAGCTTCTCAAGTAGCATCTCATGTGGAGTCACATTGCATTTGTTAGCCCTAAGGAGTGTCCCAGGCACCCTGAGCTGGGTGGTATGGCATCAGACACCTATTTTTGGATTCTGAGTAGTGCAAAAAGCAAGAATATACAGCTCTGGCTTGCTGCTGGTGACAGGATATCAATAGCATTGTACTCGGCATTTTAGTGATTTTCTGCAGCTCAGGGAGTCCTCGGGATGGCCTGAGGAAAGAGTCAGCAAAGACAGGCAAGTCCCACACAGGCTTTTCATAAAAACCAGAAGACTCCTGAGCTGTCTAGCAGGTGGGTGATGTGCCCCTGCAGTGCAGAGCAGTGCAGTTTACAGAGGTTACAGAGCTTAACTCAGGTCCAGAGGACAGAGTAGGTGGATCAATGCTTCCAGCACAGCACAGAGGCTCCTGGCTGCTGCCTCCTTGTGCAGCTCAGGCCATGTGCCCACGGCATCCTCAGGGGGAGACAGGCAGCAGAGTACCCAGTCAGGTCAGTGCTGCACTTCTCTGCCTCCAGGAAAGCAATTTTATTCCCCCTCCCCTGCAAAAGAGGAGAATAAATGAAATAAATATATACATATCCTTCTAAAGGACTGGTTGTCAGACTGTTCCATCATATTTCTGACCAGTCATGCTCTCCTCAGAAAGCTTTTCAGGTGGTTAAGAACAAGATCTGTAAATATGCTAAAAGTTGAGAAATGCTTGGAAGATAAGAAAGGATGAGAGTGAGAGAGAGTCTTTTCTCATCATACCAAAACACCATACACTTGAAAGATGGTGGCTTTTACAACATTAGCAGCCTTTTGTACTAGTAAAGATGTAAATTTGAAGCCCAAGCATCCTTTTTATCTGGATTGTTCTAAAACAATATGTATGTGTATTTATAAAATGTTCAGCAAAAAACACATTTCTGATATTAAAATAAAAATTTCACAACTACTTCATCCTTAACAGCAGCTTATTTCTCGGTAGGAAAGATGTTTATTGGTAAAACAAGCCAATTCATCAAACTGAGAATAAACCAAAATAAATCTTTCCCATCAACAGGGCAAAAATACTTTCTGGTGTTATGCAGCAGGTCAGGCTGGATTCTCAAATGTTTCAGTATTTTTGTAAACATCCCAAACCATATTTTTTTAGACTCATTCAAAGCTGTTTTCAAAATGTTATTATTTTAATCTGATAATAAATATTTTTAAATTACTTTGAAATTAGCAGGTATGAATTAGAAATAAAATTACATTAAAAATATTGAGACATTTTTATTGCTTTGAACTATTTCTCACATTTTTAACATAGGAATTTCTTTTCCTGAGTATCTGTACCTTTCATATTCTAAATGTTTTATAAAGAATTTCCTTGGAAATTTTATATAGTGAGCTGAAGGTTCCATCTGGTGACAGCTGAGGCAGAGCATCTTTCTCCTAAAGTTGAAACTTGATGCAAATCCTGTAAAGATAAATATCCCCTTCCATCCTAATATTATTTTCTATTTCAAAACCTTATCCATTAAAAAAATTATGAAAACCAGTGTTCTACCATAAGTGGAGCAAGAAAAAATCTACTTTGATACTGAAGTTTATTTTTAAAAGGATAAGAAAAGTAAAAGGAAATGTATTCATTGCAATCTGTCTACCCCCACAAGCAGATAAAAATGTCACCAGTGTTCTTGTTCAGTAGCAGATAGTAGCAATTACGAGCTTTGATATTGTGGGGCTTAGACTCCCGGGGGAGAGAGCCACTAACCGAGCCACAATTGTATTGATGACAATTTAGGTACCATTTTGCATGCATTTGCAAATGTCACAGACATGTGTCATAGACAGCTGGCATAGCTCCCCCTTATTTTGACTACAAATTGTATTTGAACTGTTTATTGAACTGCATTGACATTATGTATCAAACTGGGCAAGAATGAAGACTTTCAGCCTGTGCTGGTAAATTCTGTTTTCTATTTTATTTAGTGCCATCTCTAGTTTGAACACATGCAAACATCCCTTCCCATCAGGTCCTTCATATCCTGTCTTCAAACTTCAGTATACCCTTTGGTGAAATGATAGGTGGATTAAATGATCTTTTAAATTATTCAGTTTCATCTTGTTAAGTCTGTTAAGTTAAGGGTAATAAAGATGGAAAAAATAATTTATTAAACTCCTTTGTGATTTGCTAGAGTTCCTTTTGAGCTACATGTAATGGTGAGCTGCTGGGATAGACAAACATGGTGAGGCAGCTGGCACCAAAGAGAGACTCAAATCCAGGTGTGGGATATTGTCAAACAGACCAGAAGCACAAAGATGTATTTGGGTTCAAGTTACTAATTTTTTAGTCTGGCCATTATTTAATTCGTGGCTTGTGATATCCATAGTCTTTCATTGAAATGCTCCCTCTCCATCATTAGAGCAATTACTTTAACCTGATTACCCTCTTTATTAAACAGGCAGTCTGTGGAGCTGTACAAAATAGGTGCCTTTTCCCATGTGGCCACTGACATCTTCTAGGAGTGATGCAAATTAATGTAGCTCTTAAAAAAAAAAAATTACCTTGTATGTACTTAGTCTGTCATTGCCAGACTTGATTTCTTAGGGGGTCATTTGTGTGTTGTACTAACAATA